ACACTTTGCAGCCTCAAGGCTGCAAAAATGAAAGACTTGGCTTTGAGAAGAGAGTCCTAGAGAACCATGTCCAAGAATGGGAGCAGCCTAGGCAAACTGTTCCTCAGGATTTGGTTCATGGGCCCTGGGCCCCTATAGCCAAGAGAGAAGAAAGCCTACCTGCTGCTCTGGCTGGCAGCAGACGTTGGCATCATCCACGTGGAGGTGGTTTTAGGCGCGTGCAGAATGCAAGAGCTATGAGGTCAAGAAGGCTTCCGCCCAGATTTCAGAAAAAGGCCTGGGAGGCCAGGCAGGGCACCCTTGAGAGGGCCGCGTGTGACACTGAGAGTGTGAAGCCGAAGGTGCAGTGGAGACCCCAGAAGTTTGGAGAAACCAGGAGCATGGATTGTCTGAGGAAAGCTGCAAGGAGGGAGCAAAGCCGGCCAAAGAAAAGAGCTATAGGGGCTACCACCACCAGCAGTGCCCCAGGGGCAGAGCCGCCCAAGCCCTTTGGAATTCACAACTTGTCAGAAATTGCTGGGGATACTGGAAATGGAACCATGGGACTTAATGTTTACTCTGATGGATTCGGGTCTTGCTTTGTTCCTGTTCCTTGCTTTCCCAGTGTTTGTAACTTTTGGCATGGAAACATCCATCTTGAGCAATACCCCTCTGCCTCGGAGCCAGCTGTTTATGGACTGAAACCTCTACAACAGTGAGCTAAATAAACCTTTCCTCCTTTAACTTTGGGTGTTGGGTATTTTGTCTCAGCAATGAGAAAAGTATCTAAGACATAGCTTTTTGTTTTCTCTGTATTTGCCACACTTTAAATAAACTTTGCTTCGTACTATACCCATCTCAACTCCTCCATTTTCTGCTAAGAACCCCACTTCTCCATTCTTTGCAGGAGTGAGGGCTAGGACCTGAAGTGAGGTGGAAGGTCATTATGGGGGCAACCTATCCCCCCAAAGATCCCCCTGGCTGGATGCAACAGTAAAAGGGTAAGATGTACCTAACTCACGATCTTAGTGATTTACATAAATCCTTTCATTTTTATCCTTCAGTGTGATGAGACTGACGTTACTATTATACCCATTTTCCAGACGAGGGAAGAGAGGCATACAGAAGCTAAGTCACTTGCCCAGAATCCCACAGTAGTACCATAGACTGAAAGTTTGTGCCCGCTGCCCCCATTTATATATTGAAGCCCCAGTTATCAGTGTAGTGGTATTTGGAGGTGGGGGTCTTTGGAAAGTATTGGGTTTAGATGAAATAATCAAAGCGTGGCTCTTGTGATGTGGTTGTTGTCCTTAGAAGAAGAAGAGGAAGAGAGCAGCTGTCATTTGCTCAGTGCTATGTGAGGACAGAGTGAGAAAGGTGCTAGCAATGAGCCGAGAAAAAGGCTAAGGAGCCAGATCAGAGGGTTGTGGAAATGTGAGTGGCAGGTGATATCACTGAGCAGTGGACGTGAGAGGGGAGAGCTTGTGGAGCCTGGAAAGGGGCCAGGCAATCAGGGCGGAGAAGAAGCTGAGAGTGGAGAGGAAGGGCTCTGTCTGAGAAAGAAAGATCCACCCTCACCCAATCAGGGTGAGCACCATCCAATCAGCCAAGGCCGATGATCAAACAAGAAAAGCAGAGGAAAGTCAGATTTCTCCTCCGTTTTCTGGAGTCAGGACACCTTTCTGCCTCAACACATCAGAACTCCAGGTTCTCTGTTCTGAGCACCTTGGGTTCTCAGGCCTTTTGCCCCAGACTCAGAGTAACATGATCTGTTTCCTTGGTTCTTAGGCCTTCAGATTTGGACTGAACCATTCTTCTGGCTTCCTAAGTTCCCCAGCACGTAGGTGGCCTATTAAAGACTTCTCAGGTTCCATAACTGTATAAACCTAATTTTCCCTAATAAATCCCCACTCATACAGCATGATAAAAAATATGGTGAATGTTTACATAAAATTTATTACTGTAAAAGATACATCCCCATTAATCCTTCTCAAAATACTCTCCTTCATTTTGAACACAATTATCCCATCATTTTTTTGGGGGGTGTACCGGGGATTGAACTCGGGTCCTTGGGCTTGTGAGGCAGGCGGTGGAACCCCTGAGCTAAATCCCCGGCCCTAGCCCATCATGCTTGCCACAGTTCTGGAAGTCGTCTTTCACATCTTCTTGAGGTGTGATAAAAAAAAATGCAGCGAAAAATATACAGCGGCTGCCACTGCCCAGTGCCATCCAGTGGAAAGGCCGTCTTGTAAAAATATTACGGTGTATCTTCATCCACATTATTCCTGGAATCTGGCACAGTCCGACCCCTAGCTCCAAAGTCAAAATGACCATGAAAAGGTAAATGTTTTGATGGATTCAGGACACAGAGGCAACCACAATAGTGCAGCTGAAGATACTCAGGAAAGAAGACGTCCAGAGCTGCGTCTGGAAGTGGCAGGAGTGATGGAATGAGTTTGTTTGAACTGAGGAGGAACATGGGAGGGATGAACGATGATGTGTCTTTTACTGTATAATCTTCAAAAAATTAAACCTTCACCACATTTTTGATCATACTTTGTAGAGTTTTTCATACCTGTGGGTTGCACATCTACAGATCCAACTAACCACAGACCTAAAATATTCTTAATAAATTGTGCCTGTACTGAACATGTACAGATTTTCTCATCATTTTTCTGAAACAACATAGTAAAGCAACAACTATTTACATTGTATTGGTTAGTATAAGTCAGATAATTCAGAATAAAATGAGAACCCTATCTCTCATCATTTTAAAAAATCAACTCAAGGGCTGGGGATTTAGCTCAGTGGTTCCCGCTGCCTGCTTTACAAGTGCAAGGACCCAAGTTCGATCCCCAGTACCAAAAAAAAAAAAAAAAAATCAATTCAAAATGAATTAAAGACTTAAATATAAGACCTAAAATTATAAAATGGGTAGTTGAAAACACAGGGGGAAATGCTTTAGGACACTGGAGTGGACAAAGATCTTTTGGACAGGACCCTAAAACCATAGGGAACAAAAGCAAAGCAAACAACAGAATGAAGAGACAACCCACATAATGGTAAAATATTTGCAAAATGTATATCCACTAAGGGGTTGATTCCAGAATATACAAGGAACTTAAAAAAAAACAAAAAACAACTCAACAGCAAAAAACAAAACACAATAGTCTGATGAATGAACAGGCAAGAGACCTAAACAGACATTTCTCAAAAGAAAATATATAAATAGCCGTAGGTATATGAAAAAAATGTTCAACATAACTAGGGAAATGCAAACCCCATTTCCCCTATGAGATATCCCCTCGTGGGGGATAACAGTAGAAGGGCTCCTCAAAATATATAAGAGCCATATAATCCAGTAATCCTACTACTGGGTATGAGATCAGTACGTCAGAGACACATCTACAGTCCTGCATTCATTGCTGCCCCCAAAGGCTAAGAAATGGCAACCACCTGTGTCTGATGACAAGCGCTGAGCGGATAAAGAAATATACAGTCATAAAAAGGATGAAATCCTGTCATTTGCAGCCATGTGGATGGATGTGAGGTCATGATGTTAGGTGAAATAAGCCAGGCACAGAAAGACAATTACTGCAAGATCTCACTCATATTTGGGTTGACTAACAAGTCCATCTGATAGGAGAACAGAGAGAGAGGTCTTCACTAGAGACTGGGGAGGACAGGGGTAGATGGGAAACACGGAATGAGGGGCATCAAAACATCAAGCACAGAAATTACCACTAGCTCTTACTTAGCACAGTAGGTTAACTACAGTTAATACAATCTATGATATATTTCAACATGAACAGTAGGACAGCATGAATTTCCCAGCACATAAAAATGACTCATGGTTGCAGAGATGGAAATTATTACTCTAATTATTACACGATGCGTACCTGTATTAAATTACCACAGTGTACTCCAGAAAGATGAACAAATATTATGTCTCAATAAAAAACTCTTTATAAAAACTCTTAATTAAACCAAGTATCCAATATCAAGGATATACATACACAACAATGTAACTATACAAATTTTTAGAAGAAAGAATTGGTGACTTAAAAAAACAAAACCTAAGTGGCAATGCCAAAGAATAACGGAAACCTGGAAGCAGCCATTGAAAAAATCTGGTACAACAGATTTTCACAATCATTTATTAACTTCTGTGGTGCCTGGGATTAAATCCAGTGCTTCATTCATGCTGGGCTAGTGCTCTACCCTGAGCCCTAGAGAGATATAAAAAAAAAATGACCCCATAAACCAGGTATGGTGGCACATACTTGTCATCCTAACACTCTCAGAAGCGGAGGCAGGAGGATCTCTAGTTCAAGTCCAGCCTGGGCAATTAAAACAGATCCTGTCTCAAAACCAAACCAACCAACCAAACAACCCCCCAACAAACAAACACACAAACCAAAAAAGGGCTGAGGATGTAGCTCAATGCAAAGGGCTTGTGTTGTTCAATCCTCTGCAACACACTTACAAGACCCCACATATCTAAATACTTAGAAATCACAGTGAACACACTGGTAGAGATCTGGGCTAAGGAGGCGACTATGGATATGTCTAGATTTGAATCCAAGGATGGTCACAGCAGCTGCACTTAGTTACGTTGGCTTCAGCAGGGATGGTAAGGTCACCTGGGTGGTTAAATAGGTGAGAGCCATGGTGGGTCAGGAAGCAGGGAGAGCTGATCCCCTCTCCCATCCCACAACACTTAAGAGCATCTCTGAGCCCAGCAGGTGCAGCTCAAGGTCCACTTAATAGGGTGGGAGTGGAGCTGGAGTCACCGCAGGGATAAAACTGAAGGTGAGGAGAGTTCAGGGCCCGGCATCCGCCCTGTTAAACGTGCAGTGCATCTTGCCCAGAGGCCAGGCTGGTTCTTCTGTTTCCCCAGCCCCTTCTGTGACTGTTTCCTGATACAGGGCTGAGTTTCCCCGGAGCAATCTTGCTGTTGCAAAGAAACTTCAAGCCTCAGACTCTGGGACTGTGATCAGTGAAGATCAGAGTATCTGCCTGGCTCTCAGATCAGACTAGTTCCTGAGGAGGTGAGCTATGGGGACAAGGCCCAAGAACTATAGAGACGTCAGGTCTCAGTGACTCAGGTACAGGTGTGGAGTACTATTAGGGGTCCTCATAGAACAAGCCCAGTAGTAACCCAGACTGTCTGGCGAGGCTGTATGGGGGAAAAAGAATGGGAGTCAACAATTTTCTCACATTTCTGGGGCAACCTTACCACGACCCTGTCCTTTACCACAGGGATGCTCCTGTGTCGACTCGGGGGCAGCCAGTGTGATTGGAAAAGGTGCATCGCTAGTAACCTGTTTCCTTGCTTGAAGTACGAGGTGAAAGACTCACCAGGCAACCCGTGTTCCTCAAGGGTTTCCCCTTTGCAGGTCATCGCCATCAGGACTGCAATGACCGGCAGGGCCAGGACACGATCCCGGGGCCGAGCACGCCACTGGAACATTCCCCAAGCTGTGGCGCCTGGAGCGGCGGCAGCGAGCCCTGTAATGTTCCCTGTTCGCTTTACGCAGAAACTTCCCCTGAGAATAAAAACGCCTAAGGATACCTCACTCTTCCTTGAATATTCCTACCTGCCCCTCTCTCTGGCCTGTGCAGCTTTGCTGAATCACTCATCCTCAGGCCTTGAGTCCCCCACTTCCCCCGTTAATAAGTGCAACCTGGTCCTTTCACAACCCACCTTCCCAAACACTCCCGGTTCTCTGTTCTGTTTCCATTTCCCTAGCAATTACCACCCAGGGTGAAATGCTATTTTTAAAAAAGAGTATTAGCACATTTTACTTCTTACCAGTACATGCTTGGGATACGTAGTGGATACGTTCATCGTGGGGAGCTGGTGCATCTACATAGCACAACTCGCTGCTTTTCACCTTCTTCCCATTCGCACGATGTCCATCTTGTTTCCTATTATCGTTTATTTTGCTTCAAGTTATTTACGCTCTGGGTTTCTCTAAACACAAGGGAGTACTACTCAGCCATAAAGGATTAAGTTGGGTCACTTGTAGGAATATAGGCATCTCGAGACCATAATCCTCAGTGCTAAACCAGGCACAGTGGTTTATATACTGCATTGCTATTTTTAAAAGTTGACTTTTCGTTAGCGGAATGTGAGCATTTCCAAGGAAGATCCTTTGCTTTATTGGCTGATGGTCTAGTGTGGACGCTGAATGAACGCACAAGGGACCCTATTCTTTATCTCCGCAAACACGCAGGGCCAGCAGCCTGCCCCACTGCAGCCTAGAAGCCAGCCGCCACTAGGGGAAGGCCGCGGCGCGGCTGCACCGGAGCAACCGAGAGAAAGACGGGGAGGAGCCCAGCCTCCAGGTAAGAGGAGGGAAGCAGGATGCGAGGAGAGGCAGGGAAGGGACGGCACAGAGCCTCGCATTTCCCATGACGGGAAAGATGGGAAGCGTGCTCCGCTCGCCACCATCTCCCTTCGCGTTATAGGATTGTCAATGTTATCTGCACGAAACCGTAGCGCTTATGAAAAGGCCACACTACAGCAAGAGTGGCAGACGGCTGCTTCTTCTCCCGGTGCACTGGTGACCTCTGACTGCAGGCGCTGGGCCGGCGGTGGCAGCAGATCCACGACCCCCGTGGCAGTTGCAGGACCTCAGGCCTGGCAGTAGTTCCCGTTTCGTAGGGTCTTTTGCAGGGGGCTCTTCCGCACGCTGCTCGCGTCCCTTGAGCTGTACTAGCAGCTGCGCATGAGCTTCTCGTTTCACCACGTCAATAGTCTACATCTGCTTGCAGGTACACGTCTAGTGCGCAACCAAGCGGTTCCAGGGCAAAACGACCTCTCGCGGTGAGCCCCGAAATCTCGCGGGAGTGCTGGGGCGCCCTCTGCGCCTGCGCTCTAGCCATCCTCACCAGCCAGGGGCGGAAAGGCGGCTGGGACCAGTAGTAAGGTACTGAGGCCTCTGAGGACGCACCTTAGGTAGAGAGCCGCAGCACTGTTTCTAAGAGACTTCCTGAAAACCAACTCCAACGAATTTCAGGATGTGACAAAAGGCATAGAATGCATTATGAAGAGAAGGCTAAATCATCTGCTTGCAGGTACACGTCTAGTGCGCAACCAAGCGGTTCCAGGGCAAAACGACCTCTCGCGGTGAGCCCCGAAATCTCGCGGGAGTGCTGGGGCGCCCTCTGCGCCTGCGCTCTAGCCATCCTCACCAGCCAGGGGCGGAAAGGCGGCTGGGACCAGTAGTAAGGTACTGAGGCCTCTGAGGACGCACCTTAGGTAGAGAGCCGCAGCACTGTTTCTAAGAGACTTCCTGAAAACCAACTCCAACGAATTTCAGGATGTGACAAAAGGCATAGAATGCATTATGAAGAGGGAAGGCTAAATTTGTAAGGGAAAAAAAAAAAAAAAACAACTCTCTTTAAATGTACAAAAAATTTAAGGTAAATTAAAATTAACAGTAAATTTAGCTGGGCCTGGTGGCACAAGCGTGTAATCCCAACCCGATGGAGGCTGGGCTAGTTGGATCACAAGTTTGAGCCTAACCTGGACAATTTGGCGACTTGGCAATATCCTGTGTCGGTTTTATTTTTGATAAATAGAAAGGGTTGGGGGTATATTTAAGTGCAAAGGCCCTTCAATCCCCAGTACCACGCAAAACAACACGGAAAGTTCAGGAATACTAAATTTGATTGTAAGCAAGACATTGCATAAGAAGCTGATTGTAGCCTTTCTTTTTTTGGTAGTACTGGAGAATGAGCCCAAGACTTTTGTACTGAGCTACATTCCCGGTGCGGAGGCACAGCGACGCTCAACAACTAGGCCACCCACCGAGAGGTCCGACAGGAGATTTTATTAGGAAAGGCAGGTTAGGGAGAGGGAAGGAGAGAGAGAAGAACAAAGAAAGGGAGCTCCTTTTATCATTTTGGGGGTGGGCTATTATTTATGAGGAGTGGGCTAACCTTAACCTGTTACAGGCCAGGTTGCACTGTATGGGTTTGGTCCTGGAGAAACAGGTTTAACCTCTCCAGACCACTGTGCCCCCCCCGGGGGGGGGGAGCTAAAGAGCATGAGGTCTTTAAGCGCCAAGAAGCACCAGGAAAATGCAGCCTGTGATGGCAGCGTCAGGTCCCTAACCCGCTGTCTTTTTAAAGAGAGAATCTAAGTTTCCATGTTGTCCAGATTGGGCTTGCTTTCCCTGCTCCTACCTCATTCTCCAGGAGTCCTAGCATTACAGGTGTGTGCCATCATGGTGGCTGCAATGTATATCTTAATTCCACAAGGGAAAACACTTCAACTTTAATGCTTCAGGATTCTGAACCAATGGTGAGAGCAGGAGAAAACAGAACTACTTGTGTCCCTGTGAGCAACACGTGGATTAAGACCTTGGAGAAAAAAACAGGCATAAAACTTGGCTATTTAGTGAGTAACTTTAAATAATCATAAAATGCAAATGCTGTGCATGGTTTTCATCCCTTAAGGAAATAATCACGGTTACAAAATAGACTTAAAATGTTACTAGCCTTGATGTAAAACTATGTTGGTAAGTGGGAGTGTTGGAGGAGGGAGGAGAGGTAAATGGTTGTAGTGTCCTTAAAAAGTGGAAGCTGAGCTGGTTGTGATGGGTGTAGGCCTGTAGTATTAGCATTCAGGAGGCTGAGGATAGGAAGATCGCTGCAAGTTCGCGCCCAGCCTGGGTGACAGAGTGAGACCCTGTCTCCAAAACAACAACAATAACAAAATAAACGGTCTGTAGGGGAGGAAGTTAAGAAATTAATCAGTTGTAGAGGTGAAAGAAGATACTTTGTTACTTATAGGATAGCCTTAAAGTTTCTGAAATAGTAAAAAGCCCGATTTAAAGGGAGAAGTTAGTAGGGGGGAAAATGTGACGTCAACCGGAAATGCCTGAGTTCGAGCTAAGAATTGTTAAGAGTACTGGTGTATTTGACTATAGATTAGAGATTCTTTTATTTTTTAGAGTCTAGAAATAGTAATCTGCAGTTTTTCAAAATTAAGAAAACAGGTAATAAACACCAGGAAAAATAACAACTTCAAAAATGGCGTGGTCTGTATAGCTCAACTGATACAAGTCATGCAAATACTACTCATAATGATGTGAATATTGGCTACTGATTTAGCAAGAAGTGATTGTATAGCATTGAGAAGATGGGAGAAAGATGTGCATGCGTGTACAATGGAAAAGCTGCTCAAGATCTAATGTAGAGAGCTGGGGGTGTCACTCGGTAGAGTGCTTGCCTGGCATACACCAGGCCCTAGGTTTAAACCCCAGCCTAATAATATAGAAAAAAATCGAACATAGGAAAATCTAGAAAAAAAGCAGTACAAACATTTTTTCAGGGCCAAAACAAAACTATAATACTCAGTGAAGGGTTAAAAGTGGTTGTCTCTGGAGATGAGGAATTAGAGGTAGGTTAAAGGCAAAATTTTGTTATTTTCATTAACAGCAACAGTATGAGTAAATTTTGGTTTCAAGTTCTCCAGGTCAATTCAAATGGTCACTTCAAATATATACTGTTGGTTAAAAGCCACTAGAGTAAAAGGGCTTGAGTTTTTAAAAAAATGGGCAGGTTTCTAGTTAGAATGTGTGCTCTCGTTTTATGGTCTGAGGTGAATCCATTAATCTTTCTTATCCTGGGACTTCAACAGTTATTCACCTTCACAATGAGCTAAAGAATTAGAGATAAGCCTGCCTTAGTTCTTAATATGTACACAATAAACAGTATGTCTTTTAATAACGGAACAAAGCTTATGAAAAAGAAATGGCGATTGTGATTCATTAGCCAATTCAATATCATTGCTTCTCAAATTTAGATAATACATTTGTATATAAGCCTGAATTGACTAGGAATCCTAGGGATGTTATTTTCTTGGCTTCTTCAGTTGCGTTTAAGAGGTTCAACGGCTGCTTGACCACCTCAGCGCTTTCCTATCTTGCAGTTTCCTCACAGGTGACGGGGTCCTTATTATACAAGGTGAGTAACCTGGCTCAGCTGTTGTGATTTGCCAAGGACTTGGGTAATATAGAAAAACTTCTGTTTACGCCTTTCTTCTTTTAGATCAAAATAACTTGTGATAGAACAAAACTTTAAATGTTAAAAAAGAAAAATGTAGGCAAGTATTTAATAACGAGCTGCTACAAAATCCAGAACCCATGAAATGAAATTATAAAATTGAACACGTAAATTTAAAACACATTTTTATTACTTCCTCTTCAGCGTTGTGATTAAACATTGTAGGAAAGTGTACAATGTGCAGCAAATGCCAAGAAGTGATGTGTGTTTTTCACTGAAATTTCAGTATGACTAAGTTTGATTGTGGGGGGTGTCAGGAACTAGATGAGAATTTGATAAAGTTATTCCAAATGTAGTTTTTCCTCTTTCTTTCTTCCTTCCTTCTTATCCTTGGGATCGAACTCGGGACCTTGCGCTTGCAAAGCTGGCTTGGTGCTGTTGAGCTAAATCCCTGGCCCTAGTTTTTCTATTGTAGAAATTAAAACTTCAGTATGATGCAAGATCATCGTGCACTAGGAATAATAGCTTTCAGAGGTAACATTTTAAGGAAAAGCATGTTTGTAATCCAAGCCATGGACTCTCTTAGCCATTCAGGGATAGGAATTTATAGATGTACGTTCTTTCTTTCACAATGCACCATCTCGCTCTGAAACCCTGCTTTGCACTCTTCGTCAAATCTTCCCTCTTTGGAGTAGATACTTAAACCTCTATGAGCATTAACATAGCATGCTAAAAAATGGGATGAGTTTGTTTTCTCCTAGTTGCTCTCAATATAATGGGTGGCTCAGCCTTTATGCATCAAGGGCCAGTCATGGGCTCTTTGACATTTGTCAATCGTTTGATGTTTTCTGATGCACAGGAGAGAGCAGTGTGGGCTTATGAGGGTGGAGCGCCAGAACCATGGCTTTTTAGCATCTTGTTCTGAGAGCAAATCCCTGGTGAAGGAGGACAAATACAGTAGGAGGAATAGATGAAAGGCCAAAGCAGCTGCTGATGTAGCCTGCAGACTCCTCCGGAAAGGAAAGATTCCTTGGTAGCACCCGCTTTGCTGATGACCCATCTCTGAAGTGTTCCGATCCTTTGGTGTCATCTTTTCTCTTTCAAATGAGTCAGGTCGTTTTGTCCCTCGATCGTCGGTAGTGCACATCGTTCATCCTACTTTTCTCTTTTTACCGTATAATTTTGTGGCTTGTATGTTTATTCCCTGTAGAACAGCTTCCACTAGCAGCTGGACTGCAGGCATTACCTGTGAGGCCGAGGAGGCCTGCTGGAATTTTTCAGGACCTCGTGGTGAACACGAGGGAGAGCTTGGAACATGTTAAGCACTCAAAAACAGGTATGTTGGTCTGCGTCAAATTTTGTGAAGCCGTTCACTTTAAACTTTTGATTTAAAAATAGCAAGACGTTCTGTAAAGCTTCGTACACACCATCCTTGTACACAGAGGTACCTCATTCTCCACGTGTTTTTGTGAAAACATTCCCTTCTGTAGAAATGACAATTTGTTGTAGGGTTCTAGATAGGCTACATACTTCTTTGCCTTTCACACCCCCTAAAATAGGATGACCCAGTTCTTTGGTTGCTCTGGGATTAAAAACAAACAAACAAACAACAACAACAAAAAAACCACGTTGTTATACATAGTGGCTTTTTTTCCTTTCAGAAGTTGCATAGGTTCGGGTTTTGAGCTACTCTTACATTTTAATCTTATATTTAAACCCTCTAAATGTGTGCTCACATCTGGGTTCACCTAAATTGGTAGGCATTATCACTGTCTGGTGTGTGCAAATGTTAATTCATCATTATCTCCAAGTTTGACCTACCATGGGCTGTCAGAGTTGTAGTGTCCAAGCTGTTTTGGCTGTCACCGATCACTTAGTTACTGACATGTGCTTCAATTTCTCAGGCTCTGAAGGTGAAGTGATAGTACTGCTAGCAAACCACTTCCAAGTTACATATCCCCTGTGGGTTGCGTATAAGTACAACATTGACTACAAACCGGACATAAAAAATATAGATCTCCGTGAAAACTTGCTTTATCAACACGTGTCGACATTCGGAAGATGCCATATATTTGATGGAAACTCTTTGTTATTACCTAGAAGGCTGCAAAGTTCTGTTAAGTAATGTTGTTTGACGTTTCCTTTCCTTTGCTCACATTTCACGCATGCTCTTTGTGAGAAAGATTTTGCTTCCCTAGTAGCGAGGCCGAGGGCGCGGTGACTGATAGGTGAGTAGAATTTAAGTTTTCTTGGAAGAACATCCGGACCTTCTTCTTTTAATCTTAGAATATGGAACTTGTCAGTAGGACCCGAAGTGGTGGCATTGTGAAGATTACAGTCCACTTTTCAAAGGAACTCAGGCCTACACACCCAGACTGCCTGCGCTATTATAATATTCTCTTCAGAAGGTGTGTCTGTAAACTCTACTTCCCTTGAGATTCCATTGTATTTCACCATGTTTATGTTAACAGCTTCTATGTGTTAAGATGAAATGATCCTCGTGTGATGTGCTCATGCTGACTTGTTCCCAGCATTCATCCACCCTGCCCGCCTGCATTTCCCGCAGCTGATATCTGTTGGGAAGGTGTAGCTATATCAGCTATGTACATCTGTGTATATTTCTCTCTGAAGCACTTGTTTTCTCTTCTACTCTATGATGACCAAATATTCAAAATCAAAACCTGAGGCTGGATGTGGTGGTGCATGCCTTTAATCCAAGCACTTGGGAGGCTGAGGCAGGAGGATCACTGTGAGTTTGAGACCAACCTGGGCTACATAGTGAGTTCCAGGGGAGTCTCACCTAGCTAGTGAGACCCTGTCTCAAAAAACCAAACCAAACCAAACCAATCCAACCAAACAAAAAAACCACAAAAAAGCAAAAAATTAAAAACTGGGACATGTGATTTGCAAAAGCTATCCTAAATTAGTTCTGGGAATAGTCTAAAATAGTATAAATCCTTCTGATATTTGCATAGTATTTTGTTTTATAGTATGAGAAAAAGACACACATTGAGTTAAAATCTATCTTATGTAAATAATCAGGCACTTTGTGTTAACTGACAGTATAAAAAGAGTCCTTGGCAAGACTGTTTTCTTAATGTGTTCTTATCTGTGTTAACAAATGCTTCATAATATTCTGTCCTTTTTAACAAGTCCTAGTCTTTGAATTACAGAGCTCTGAAGATGATGAATTTGAAACAAATTGGTCGCAACTTTTATGAGAAAACTAAACGAATGTTCTGTAACAACAGGTTTGTACAATATGGAAAATACAATGTTCTGCAGGCTTTAATCATGTAACATGTTGAGAAAGTTACTCATTTGAAGTAGCATGATGTAAAAGTGGTGGTAACTTTTTAAAGGATACCCTCCAGCCATAAACAACTGCAGTTCAGTTGATTTTGAATTTTAAAAAGATAAACTTTACGGGTTAAATTTCTCATGGTAGAATTTTTTAAAGTATTCACTTTTTGTGTATGCGTTAAATCTTCAGTCCCTGCCTGAAAATATTTCAGTAGCAATTAAATAGGGTACCTATACTAGTTGCTGGTCTATATATTTCATATAAAAGTTGTAGATGTGATGCATTAAACCAGTGGGTGATAATGAGTTTAGCAAAGGTGGTAATGCTTGTAGTACTTATAAGTAATCTTTATTTGAAGGTCCTTCAAAAGATCAGTTACTACTAAAAAATAAGCAATTGAAATCAGATCAGCACTCAGGCCCTAAAACATCTCATTTGATGTTGAGATCTTGGCCTTGATACGCTCATGTAATTTATTCTGTTGCAGTTTGGAAGCCTGGCGTGGTTATGTGACTTCTGTTCTTCCCTATGAACACAGCCTTACCCTGTGTTCTGATGTTTGCCATAAACTGCTCCGATTGGAAACTGCTTATGATATAATCACGAAAGCTGAAAAATCCCTTAAAAGTAAACGTAGCAGAGAAGAAATTTCTAAAAAATTAGTGGGATTAACTGTTTTTACAAGGTAAGTCAGCTTTTGAAAAACTACCTCATCTCTTTAATTACTTCCTCCCTCCAAAAATGATATTCCTGGAATCGCTAAACGTGCAAGTTCAAGACTAGTAAGTAGTGTGAAAGGGCAAGGATCATTTGATAGTCTTCTCAGCTGGTTGAACTAGTTGGGAGAGGAGGTCTGTGATTGTGGGCTGCTGTCCTCACAGTCTGTAATGTTTATTCTTCTGAACCATTGCTTGCATGAGACAGTCTGTTTCTTCTGAATTGTTTTTTCCTTTTCCTCTTTATTGTTGGTGTCTAGCTATTTTAAAAATCAGTGCTTACTTACAATCCACTACCAATCCACGGGCTGGGGATTTAGCTCAGTGGTTCCACTGCCTGTCTCGAAGCAAGGTCGGGAGTTTGATCTCTGGTACCAAAAAAAAAAAAAAAAAAAAAAAAAGAAAAGATGTCGTTAGCAATCCATGTACCACTTAAAGAAAAGTTTTTATCTTTAGTTTTGCTTCTACACCAGAAATCTTTAACTTGCTTATTAATAACTAGTTACTTAGCCAAAACAGTCTTCAAAGAACAAAGTTGGTGAACTTACATTTTCTACCTTCAGATCTTATTACAAAACTATAGTAATGACGGCTGGGTGATATTGGCCTAAAAACAGAGACTAATGTAGTCAAGAGTGTTCTTGGAGTCACTTGATACCTATTTTTCTTATTAGTACATGTCTGCAATACGTAATGATTTTCACTGTGGGTATTTGGTTCATGTACATCGTCTTTTTTACGTACCCTTCTCTGTACATACAAGTTTTTCTTTCGTTTTTTTGGGGGAGGGTTGTTTTGAGGCAGGAGCTCGCTATGTAGTTCACCCTGGCTTTGAACTTGCAGCTGTCTTCCTGCCTCAGCCCCCAAGTGCTGGGATTACATGTGCATATCACCAGACCTGGCACAATTTTTTTAGTAAACATAGGAGCAAATTTTCTTGATGTTGGGTTATATAAAATCTTAAATTGGGCACAATAAGCATAGGTGATGACAAAAGAAAATATAGGTGAATTTGATTTTACCAAATTAAAACTTTTAGTTCGACAGTGTAACTTAGAACAAAAAGACAATTGACAGGAAAGGAGAAAAATACTTGCAAGTCACATGTCTTATAAGAAATTTGTATCTAGAATATAGAAACACAACTCAATTAAGAGATAACTCAATTTAAACTTGAATGGGCAAAGGATCTGAGTAGACCCTCCTCCAGACTTTTCTCAAAAGGAAATACTAATGGCCAATAAGAACGTGTGAAAGTGCTCATGATTAGCCATGAGGGAAATGCAAATTAAAACCAAAATGAAATACCACTTCATATCCATTTAATAAAGAGATAATAACAAGGGAATGAGGATGTGGGAAAATTGGAACCAACCCTCATACGCTACTGGTTGGAATATAAAATAATATTTCTTTGGAAAACAGACTGATATTTTGATTTAGACATTCCACTCCCAGTGTTCTATCCAAGAGAAATGAAAGGCGTCTGTCAACATTGGTACATGAATATCTGTAACACGATTCATAATAAATTGTAAACAACCCTAATGCCTATCACCTGGTGAATGGATAAACAATGTGGTATATCCAATAATAGAATATTATTTGGAAACAAAAGGAATTATGTATCAACACTTACTACAGCATCAATGAATCTTGAAAATTATGCTAAATCAAGCCAGCCATGCAAGATCACATGTTGTAGGGATTCTGTTTATACATTTGCCTAATCACACATTTCCTATAGAGACAGAAATTTGATTAGTGAGTTCATTAGGTATGTGAGGCTTGGATGGAAATATCCACTTATGGTTACATTTTTCCTTGGGAGATGAAAATGTATTAAAACTGTTGAATGTACAACTCTGTGGATATAATAAAAACCATGAGCTTATTTGCTTACATAGGTAAATCGTATAGTATATACATTACATTCTAATAGGCTAATAGTATTTAGTTTATTTTGTGCATAGTTGTTTGTAATGAGTAAGTTGGGAATAATCTTTTACATTGCAATTGTTCCATAGATACAATAACAGAACCTACAAGGTGGTTGCTATTAATTGGGATCAGAGTCCCAGAAATACATTTAAAAAATCAGATGGTAGAGAAATCACCTTTGTAGACTACTACATGCAGGTATGAAATTTTGTTTATAAATATTTGCATAAAATTTTCACATTTAGTTAACTTCTTATGTCTTATCTAGATGCCTCAGATATATAAGTATTACACATATAAGTATTACTATTTTCCTTTGGGGACTATGGCTTGAATTATATCTATTACTCATGTATTTGATTGCTTTGTATATAGGGTAAGTGTAACATAGGTGTAATAGCTCTAGTGTGTGCCCTTTGACTGGTCTTGGAAGTGGCTGTAGTAGTTTTAAACATGTAGATGGATTATTAGGTAAAAATAAAACATGCTAAGACTTCATATATGAAAATGTTACTTATCTGGAAATCTTGGCTCTATAGAACTTGGTTCAAAAGTAAAAATGACCACCTACCCTCTGAAATGATCTCAGTTATATACAAAAAGTTATATGTAATTCAGGGCTTCTTTAGTATGTGTTTGTTTTGTTTTGCTTTTGCTTTTGCTTTTTGTACCGGGGATTGAACTCAGGTCCTTGCTCTTGCAAGGCAGGCAGCAGAACCACTGAGCTGAATCCCTGACCCTAAGGCTTCTTTAGTATTAAATTTGAGTATTCATAAAGAAATGAATAAGCTTAGATCAGTAAATTAAGATGCACCAGTTGATAACTGATTTCCTAGTTTTGATGGATGAAAGAAAGGTTATTAAAAGAATGCCAGATACTTGGGAGCAACTAAAACAACTGGTTACAAATAGATGATATAGCAACTTCTGTTTTTATGTAGGAACCCAAATGTGGTGACTTAGAGCTATCGACCACGCAGTTCTGCCATATGCCTCCAAGGGGATGGTGCGGCTACCAGTTCCTTCTCCTCTGGGTGCCATACTTTGTGCTTGCACCTTTAATTTAAAAGCATTTAGTGAGTGCCTCCTCTGTATCTTGGGTGTACGTTCTAAGACAGTGAGTTATTTGATCTCAAGAAGCATGCATTCTTGTGGTCGGCAGAGGAGTGCATGTAAGAAAACTACTCTGACCACTACAGAGGCACTATGAAATTATCTGGGTGTTTAGACTGCAAAGCTTCTCTGAGAAGCTAGCTGATAAGGCTGGACCTGAAAGGAGTGAGCTGTATGCAGATCAGGGAGAAAAGAATACAAGCACTATCTTGAAGGTGGGCCTGCTGTGTGTCCCTGTGTCACACAAAAGCTTGGAATGTTCTCTGGAGGACAGCAGTGGGGAAGGGGTGGGGACTGCATGAACAGGGCAGAGGTTGTATGTATATGGGAGGGTGGGGGGCCATCTTGTATGGAATTTTGTTCACTGAGTTAAACTGGATTTTACTGTCATCAAATGGTGTGATGCATGAATTAAGTGATAATTGTAAGACTTTTAATGTACAGAGAACGGGCAGTATGCAGCTCAAAATGGAGGCAGGGAATCTAGTGGGTGCATTGTTGAAGGGGTTTGGGTAGATAATAGTGGTCTGGATCTTGTGGGCGACAGAAGGAGAGTACAACATAACCCTTTGGTTTCGTGTGTGGAAATGGGTGGATGGTGAGATCCCATGAGGGAGGAGTCTGGAGAAGTTAGCTGGCTTAGGGGTGCTGGGGACATGAGAGGCTCTGATGGAGTTGCAAGCTGCAGTATCCAGTAATCGCATGCCACAAGAAGGCTCTAGGACAGGGAAATAGGACTAGATTCCAGCTGCCTTTAAATAGCTATAGACCACTTTAGGGGAAAATTAGGCAACCTGCGTAAGTATCATAAGAATAGAAGGCAGTAGTCCAACTTAAAAACAGGGCTGTGAAGGTTTTCCGTTTGAGGTGAGAACTTTTAATGCCCTCAGACGTTTGAAGGACAAATGATGCCAGAATTCGTGTTACAAGTTGCCGTAGGCAAGGACCTTGTTCCGAGCAGCGTGGAAGAGTCCATGAAGGGTCGCTGTTTTTGGTTTGGGAGGAAGGCACTTCGCTGATCAAGAATTGCATCACAGCTCTCTTGCCTTTCTTTTTCATCCAACAAACCCTAACTTTATTAGTGATAGAAGCAAGACAGATTTCAAAGCAAGCTGAAGTCACCTTTTTGAAACACCAAAAGTCCTGCTTTCAGATGATTACATCGTTAATTCCATAATAGCACTTACGATATCATTACTGTTGTTCTTTGGGGCTCAGACAATCTTTGCCCTAGACACGTTTGCTTATGACATAACCAATTCTATGTCTTTAACTTCCACATCTGTTTCATCAACCTCTTCCTCCTCATTTTCCTCCTGTACAGTTGGAGTCCGTGTGTTTTCTTGGACGACTGAGATGGCTTTGTCTTGAACTTTGAATTTCTTGGCATCTGCTACCTGTGCTTGCTGAGATAAATCCTCAGTCTTGGCTTCCTTCAAAACTATGTAGGTATCTAGAGCTGGGCTCTTGCAGACCTCTGGTTTTGTGTTGACAGAGAATATTCTTCAGTTTCTGGATGGTGACTCTAGTAAGCTCTGTAACCTGCTGAAGACCTGTTGGACTTAGCCTACCATGCTTTCTTTTTACTCCAGCTCTGTTTTGCTCTAATTACTGGTTCTTCATCGATTTCAGCTGCTTCTGCCAGCTGGGCTTGTGCAGTTGCTTGTGCGAATCTTGCTCCTTGAGCTCCGGTACTGATTCATCACTGTCAGTTTCTATTCTAGACCCTGTCTCAGCCAGGAGCTGCAGCAACTCCTGCTCTGTAGAAGGGACAGTTTCTGTGGCTTCACCAGGCATTTTGTGTGGAGAAACTGTTGTTATCTTTTCCTAATGGAAATAGGGACTGAAAGTTGGGGAAAATAACACAGAATGACCACTGGAATAAATCCGTAATGGAAAATTTAAAAAGTGTCCAGGTTTTGCCTTACCTCATTCTGGCAAGAGTCCTCTTAAACATTTTCAGTACGCTTTAGGGATTCTAAAGGCAACCCTGGTGAGAACTACATACTCCAAGTGTCTCTCATCCATCTGTATGTACAAAGATAGAAGAAGGGAACAGAATAACTTCTGTGTAATGTTTTGTGGGATTCCTAGTCCCTTTGGCTGTGCATGCTTATCATAAAAACAATGACACGATCTCTGGGATATCAACATGAAGAGAATTAAACTATATATATATATTTATACCTGGGCGGAAGTCCTCACCAGCATGTGTCTGGGCCCCCATTAATTCCCCCACTGAGTATTTTGTGTCTATTTACGTGATGTTACTGTGGTTTTGCTGATGGTCATGGCAGATTTTCTTGCTTCTGTTGAGCAGCAATATAACCAAATTATCACTGACTTAAACCAGCCCCTCTTGGTCAGCCAAGGCCGGTGGAGAAGGGGGCAGAGGAATGTACCGCAAGAGCCTGTTCTGCTGGTTCCTCAGCTCTGCTACCCAACAGGTACTGTGGATGCAGGTAAAGAAGGCAGCCCCTCCCCATAAATCACAGGTTTAAGTATGAAGACATTCAGGCCTTTCACGGAGATCTCCCTGAACCAGAATTGTGTCCCCTCGGTTGGCTGGTGGTTCCCCACCCCACCTCTGATACCACAGTTAAGTCTTCTTTACTATAAATTCTCGCTGGTGCAGCTGTACTTTTTGGATTTTTAAAGGTCTATCAGATGAAATGCGTCAAAATAGTAAATATATGAGTGAATTGACTGGCTTTATGCAGTTGAATCCAAAACAAAGGAAGGTTGATTTGGGAAACTTCGTGGGAGATATAAACAAGTAAGTGCTTCTTTTATGGTTGTGTGTTTGTGCTCACGTGCTGTGTTGCACTCAAGTTGAGACCTGTGTGTATCCCCTAGCATCTCAAGTTCTTCTATTAAAAAGTGGCTTTTAGAGAGAAAATGGAAGTCTCTTTGGAGAGGAGGAGCAACTCCAGTTTTTCTGACGTTGCAGTGTCAGGGAGGTTGGGTGGGGGAAGCAGGCTCTAAATTACTTGCATGAACAGAAGAGCAAAGACAATATTTCAGAGTTTCAGGGAACTTTATCTGTAGGACAGACAGTATTGAACTTCAGGTTCAAGACAAACTGACCTTGGCTAACTGCTTTTGCTTATTTGATTTGATTGTGCTGGCAATATTTTCATTTTCAGAAGTCAGAGAGCACAAAATGAGCTTCAACGCTGGAATCTGAGTTTTGATACCGAACTTTTGTCCATCTCAGGAAGAATTTTGAAAAATGTAAAAATCTTCCAGCGTGACTCATCAGTAAGATGGATTCAGGGTTGTGTTGTCATAGTTGGGTCAAATAGAGTCAGGAAAAAAAGGAATGAATTTGGTCATAGTAGTAGCTATGACTCTTATAACTCTTTTGAGAGACCACTTATTCTTTCCCTATGAGAGGACAGGCAGACATTGAACAGTAATGTGCATGAAGTGCTTGGCGTGGAATAAACCACGATACGTCCTCTTCTAATTAGTATTGTGAGTATTTGTTCACAGCCTTTGAAAGATCAGTCTTCCAATTCTGTCCTTAAAGGTCAAATATGTAGAATCAGATAATGTGAAACATTGGAACCTATGTTAGAAGAAAAACTGTTGATGATGTAAGTTTCAGCTGTTTATTTGAGCAAAGAAAAGATTCATGAAATGGGCAGCACTCAGAGCAGAAGAGGTTCTGAGAGCTCTGTGTCAGCAGCTTGGATAAGCTGTCATGGAACTCGGACAAAATATATTTGATTGGATAGGGTGGGAAAACCCGATTAGAAGTTGGCTGGAGGTTTCTGGTTGATATAGTTCCTAGTTTTATTTTATTACCTTGGGCTGTGGTTTGCCTACTTAGGAGCTAAAGCTATGGGGTTGTCCCAGTCTAATGGACTCTCAAAACTCAACACATGATGGGATTCCTGTTTTATGAATTCTGTCTTAACTGTTGAATCCGGTCATTATTTAAGATTAGATTTTTAAGATGTGAGTTGGAAATAGCACAGATATACAATGGAAAGGACTTTGAGTCATGTTGATTTAAAAAAAAAACAAATAAATGTTTTTATGTCTTGAATTCTTTTCCAGTTTGACACCGGGCCACAGATAAGAGATTGGTTGAGAGAATCAAGAAATACACCCTTACTGTCAGCGAAGTCATTAAGCAACTGGGTGTTACTTTATACTGGGGAATATGTTATCAATGCCAGAGCCTTACTGCGTAGTTTACATAGAGTCACCCCTACCATGGGCATAACTATGAGATCTGCACGTATGTAAGTAGAGCGGAAACTATTTCCAGTTTGGAAACTGAAATAATCAGTTATGTTAGCAACCTGAATGTGGAATCACTGGAACATTAACTTGCAGGAATCATTTTCTTTATCAAAACTCTGAAACTTTGCAAATGAAATCTCTGTCAGGCAACAAATATTAAAAATAGGATTTTGTGATCTATGATTTGTGACTGTTACGGCTTGTTTGTGTTTTGGTTTTGTTTTTTTTGAGACAGGGTCTCACTATGTAGTTGAGGCTGACCTGGAACTCACTATGTAGCCCAGGCTGGTCTTGAACTCAGTGATCCTCCTGCCTCAGCCTCCTGAGTACTGGGATTACAGGCATGCGCCACCACGCCCGGCTATGGCTGTTATGATACATTCTGAAAAAGGCATGAGGGCAGGTGATTTGGCTCAGTGGTTCTTCCACCCACCTTGCAAGCACGAGGGCCATAGTTCGATCCCTGGTACTGGAAAAAAAAAAAAAGTCATGAGAATTAACACCTTGAATGGAGAGTATTAATAACTAGGTCCCAATCATGTTTCCAAAAATTAACTTTGTTTTTAAAAAAGAGACTTCATTTCTTAGAGCAGATTTAGGCTGACAGCAAAATGAAGAGGAAGTTGCTTCTCATATCCTCCCTGTCTTCCAGGTATGCATAGCCTCTCGCTGTCGCCATGCTGTCTCCGTAGTGACGCCTTCTCTGGAAGGTGGTGTCCTTGGAAGCACACGGTGCACAGCCTTTTGAGATTGGCTTTCGGTAGTGTGCTTTTAAGGGTCTTCCGTGTCTTTTCGTGGCTTGGTGGCTCATTGCTTGCTCTTCTCCCGTCTCTGCCCTTTTCCTTTCCCCTCCCCTTCTCTTGTTCCTTCCCCCCACTTCCGCCTTCTCCCCTTCACCCCTTCTTTCTCCTCCTTTCCTCCTCTTCCCTTCCTTCCTATTTAGCCTGTTCTGCCTGCTTCCTCTTTCTCCTCCTTCCTTTCTCTCCTCATCTGTCTTCCTCTGTCTTCTCATCTTCCTTCCTCTTCTCCTTCGTCATCCGCTTTCTCCTCCTCGTTTTTCATTCACTTTTCTGCACTGCAGACTGAACCCAGGCTTCATGAATGCTAGGCAAGAATTCTACCACGAAGTGACCCACGCTGGCCTTGCAGTCCTCCTGCCTCAGCCTCCTGAGGACTGGGATGACAGGTGTGAGTCATGGTGCCCGGTGGTAGCGTGCAGTGCTGAATGATATTCCATTGTCTGGATGTTACAGTTTATCCGTTCACCCACTGAAGGACATCTTGCTTGCTTCTGAGTTTTCATGGTTTTAAATAAAGCTACGGTAAACATCCCTGTGCAGTTTTGTGTGTGTGTGTGTGTGTGTGTGTGTGTGTGTGTGTGTGTGGATATAAATTTTCAACACCTTTGAGTAGCTAACAAGGAGCAAAATTGCTGGATACCATGGTAAAAGTATGTTTAGTTTTGAAGCGAAGCACTAAACTCCCAAGGTGGTTGTATCACTTTACATTCTCAACAGCCATGAGTGAGAGTTCCTGTGACCCCACATCCTCACCACATGCAGGCTGTTGGTCTTTCTGATAGGTGTGTGGGGTGGTATCTTGTTTTAATGTACAATTCTCTGGAATTGTAGTGGAGGTTCTTTTCATATGCTCACTTGTTTATCTGTGTATCTTCCTTGGTGAGGTGTTTGTTAGTGTTTGGCCTATTTTAAAATCAGGTTGTTGCCGAACATCATGGCACACTCCTATAATCTCAGCACTTGGGAGGCTGAGGCGGGAGAGTATTCATGAGTTCAAGGCCACCTGGACGACATAGTGAGTTCAAGGCCAGCCTGAACTGCAAAGTGAGGCCCTGCCTCAAAAACACACCCAAAAAATCAGGTTGCTCATTTTCTTATTGTTGAGGTTTAAGAGTTCTTTTTTTTTTATTTGTTTGTTTTGAGTCAGGGCTTTGCTATGTAGTTCAGGCTGGCCTCAAACAGTGAGCCTTCTGCCTCAGCCTTCCCAGTTCTGGGAATTATATGCATGTACCAGGTTTAGGAGTTCTTTGTATGTTTTGGATAACAGTCCTTTATCAGGTGTGACTTTTTGCACACATTTTAAAGTATGTGGCTTGTCTTCTCATTTTTATGGTGGTGTCATTTGCAGAGCCGAAAAATTTTAATTATAATGAAGTGCTGCTATTTATTCATAGCTTTGATTTTATATCAAAAGTTATTGTTATAAAAAAAGTCATGGAGGTTTCCTTCTATAAAACTCTAGGAATTCTGTATTTTTGTTACATTTAGGCTTAGAATTTTATTTTGAGTTAATTTTTATGAAGGGCTTTAAGGTCTGTCTAGAATTTAAAAAATTTTTTTACGTGGAGGTATCCAGGTGTACCAGGATCATTTTATTAGAAAGATTATGTTTTATTCCATTGTATTACTTTTGTGTGATTTTTTTTTTTTTCTTCCTACCAGGGATTGAACTCGTGACGTTGCACTTGCAAGGCAGGCGGCAGCACCACTGAGCTAAATCCCTAGTTCCATTGTATTACTTTTGTTCCTCTGTCTTTGTTCCTTGACTATATTTACATGAACCTGGTTTGGGCTATATATTTTTCTCCATTGATCAGTTTATTTTTACTTTTACTAATACCACATGCTGTGTAGTTCTCTAGCAACTCTTGATGTTGGATAGTTCGGTCTTCCAACTTTGTTTTCCTTCAGTATTATGCTGGTTGTTTTGGGCCTTTTGCTCTTTTCAGTCTTTCAGAATCATTTTGCCAATATGCACAAAATAATTGGCTGTAATTTTGTTTGAGGTGTATTACAACTGTAGATTAACTTCGGGAGAACTGATGTCTTCACAGTACTGTCTTTGTATCCATGAACATGGAATATTTGTCCATTTATTTAGTTCTTTTGAAATTTATTTCCACAGAATTTATAGTTTCCCTCACTTAGATCTTACATATATTTTGTTAGATTTATATATATCTAAGTATCTAATTTTGGGAAGAAGTGCTAAGATAAATAATAATGGTATTTTAAATTCTTTTCAAATTATACCTGTTAATTGCTGGTATAAAGAAAATCAATTGGGGGCCAGGGATTTAGTTCAGTGGCACTGCACCTGCCTTGCAAGCACAAGGTCCTGAGTTGGATATCCAGTACTAAAAAAAATAGACTGGGGATTTAGCTCAGTGGTTCCGCCTCCTGCTTCACAAGCACAAGGTCATGAATTTGATAACCTGGTACCAAAAAAAAAAAAAAATCAATTGGCTTTTGTATATTAACCTTTTATCCTGTTACCTTGTTATAATCCTTTATTAGTTCTAGGAGTTTGTTGATTCAGATTTTCTTCATAGACTTGTTGTTTACAGTTTCTACTTTTTGACTTTCCTGTGTATTGCATTAATGAGAACTTTTAGTTCAAAAGGAGTAGTGAGAAGAGGGGATACTTTTACTTTTTAAAAATTATTTAAAAATTTTCTTTTAATAATCCCTATTCTTATGAGTCATAATTGTGCTAAATTTCTGAGAATTCCAACATGCTTCCATTATTTGGTTGTGATGTTTTCTGTCTCTTCAGATTGTGTACTTTTTTTTTACCTTTTAGTATGCCTTGTAATTTTCCTCATGGCCAGATGTGATGTACCAGTTGAAAAAAGAATGTGCTATACATAGCCTTTATAGTCATGTGGTGGTAAAGTATAGGGAATTGTTGCCCTACAATTCTCATTTTCTTAATGCGGTTGTGTCTCTGGACTATGAACTTCATAAAAGGTTTAAATTTTTTCTCTCGTTTGTGTGGGACAAGATGACTAGACTGTACTGTTTGGGTACTTCCCTCCTGTCATGTGGAAGGTGGGAACTGACCAGTTTGTATTTCCCTGTCTTCATGTGGGTTAGGCTGTAGTTAACTACTTTATCCCAAAGGTGGGCTTTGTTGGGAAGAAAAGAATGCTCTAGGAATATTTCAGAAGGGGATATTTCCTTACTTTGATTGGGGACACCAGGGAATTTTCCTGATATTTTCTGTGAAGACTTGGCTGATTTCATAGAGTAGTAGTCTCCAACCTTCTTTGTACCAGGGACCAGTTTTGTGGAAGAAATTTTCCACTGACCGAGGGGAGGATAGTTTTGGGATGATTCAAGAGCATTACATTTATTGAGCATGATATTTCTATTACATTGTAATATATAGTGAAGTAATTATACCACTCATCATACTGCAGAATTGGTGGGAGCCCTGAGCTTGTTTTTCTGCAACTAGATGGTCCCATCTGAGGGTGATGGGAGGTAATGTGCTGCTTATGTCAGGTCTACTCTGTCATCTCATTTTGATTCCTGTCCCTGCAGAAAACTCTGCTTCACAAAGGTAGGGTACTGGAAATGGAAGATGGCTCTTTAGTGCTTTTGTGGCAGTCTTGGGGTATTCTACCTTGACTGCGATCCAGAACATATGAAGATTTGAAGCTGTCTCAAACATATTTTTTGTTTGTTTGTTTGAGACTGAGTCTCACTGTGTAGCTTCAGGCTGGCCTCAAACTCGTATCAGTCTTCTGCTTTAGCCTCCCAAGTGCTGGGATTATTGAAGGGTTCCACCGTGTCTGCCTCTAATGGACTTTTAAGTCCACCATCATTTTTGATCTCTAGCAGCTGATCCTCTCCTAGCACAGACAGAATCAGTTCACGTCGATTATTCCCAGATGGGCTATGTGCATCCATTCCTCTCCAGTTTGGGGGTCTTTTGTAGTGGGGAAGCAATGCTCAAACTCTTGAAAGCTGAGCTAGGTGGTCATATACTATGTGGGAGAAAGAAAGCCCTCCAGCTTACCCTCTTTAAAAATCTTTGTTAATGTCTGAAACATGTCAAAAACCCCAGTGTTTAGTAATCATCCCGTAGTACAACTTGACTTTGAATGCATCCACTTTATCAACCTGAACACAGTCCTAGCTCCCATTTGAAGTGAGAGATTGAGTTTGTGGGGTAGTTTGAATATGTCACATGAGTATGCAAGCTTTGGGACTCATTCTGAGTCCCTGTGATGTGATGGCAGCGGTGGACTGTTTCTCCAAGAGAAATTTCTGGAGGAGTTGTCATAACTCTAAAACCCTGGCCAATGATCTCTCTTTGGTAAAGGGTTTAACTTAGAAACACAGCCACTAAGAATAGTGTTCTCAGGGCAGACACATTTCATGAAGAGTGACCTTCTGGTTTTTTCTTGTGTGTGTGTGTTCACAGTTTTTTCTTTCGCACAGCTTCAGATGCTTGTCTTTTAATGCAGGGTGCTTGGTCTCCATGTGGCAAAAACAGTTTTGAAAGTTTTATGGCTTTGTTGGGTAGCTGGTCACCACATTATATAAAGCAGGCTTGGAGAATGTATATCACCTATTGTAATGAACCTGTAATTTAAGTAGGACCTGTGCTATTTTCTTTTAAATGCCTTTCTTTCCCTCTTTCCCTCCCTCCCTCCCTCCCTTCCTTCCTCTTACTTTTTTTGAGACAGTGTTTCACTATGTAGTTTAGGCTGGCCTTGAACTCATGGCAGTCCTCCTGCCTCAGCCTCCTGAGTGCTGGGAATGCAGGCGTGTGCCACCATACCAGGCTTTAAATGCCACTTATTTTGTTGGCAATGGTAATCTTCTACTGTCTTATCATTGGGTCTGTCTCCTTTTTCAAAGAAGCTTTTCAGGGATATTTTCCTTTTACTCTTTTTGGCTAGGGTTAGCTCGTGAGTTTACCAAACTTGTAACTGAGACAGTGCACAGTGGGGGAAAGAGGTGTAGATGGAAATGTTAAATAAAATAACGGGCAGGCCATGCACAGACTAAAATAAGCATTGGATTCTGACTTTGAGGCTGCCAGCTGTACAGCCGAAGTACATCAACTCGCTTGCCGCTATACAGCCTGCCACCAGGTACAGTTTGTTATTTGCCACTCACCGGCAGGGTTTTGGTATGAGTCTGCAAGCAATTGATTTATTATGCTCTCCGAGTCACCCTTGTTCAGTCATTTTTATCTGTATTTGTAGTCTCTTCCCCACTAGCATTACCACCTGTGCTCCAGCTCAGCTCATCAGGCACTGGGTTCTCCTAAGGATCATGCAGCCTAGACCCTCTGCATGTGCAGTTCGCAGGAGGGTTCATATCCCTGAGAGTCTAAGGCCACGGCTGATTCGACCGAAGGTGGTGCTCGGTTGGAAATGCAAGTAGCGGGGAGTGGTAATAATACAGATGAAGGTTCGCTTACTTGTCCACTGGTTGCTTCTTGCTGGGAGGCCCTGCCCTCTGTTGTAGGCCTCCCTGTGACTGCGGGCACCTGGACTTTTCGGTGCTCGCATTTGTCCGTGTGGCGTCCCCAGGGTGTCAGCTTGGGGTTTACGGTGCTTGGTTTGATCCTGGCACTGTTTCCCTGGGAGCTTCCCTGAGTCTCTGCTCAGGTGAGCTATAACTTCCTGTTTCTCCAATCCTGGGGGCAGTGGTTTTCCCCGCGTCCTCGCCACTGTTAGGGATGTTAGAGAATTGTTCAGTTTTTAAATTTTTTGTCAGTCTGTTTTTTTTTTTTCAGCTTTAATTGAGTTTATTGGTACATCTTAGGGATACAGTACAGTTACATTCATTGTTGGGATCTTGTACTTCTACATGACAAGTCTTGATTCTCATTTTTTCCCCTTACCCCTGCCCTCCCTTCACCCCCTTCTCTCCTCCCCATCTACAAACACTTTATTTCCATCTTTTCATTATCTCACATTTTTTTCTTTTCCCTTTTTACTCTTCCCCAACCCATCCCACCTTCCCTACACCTTTAGCTCCTTTCTTCCCATTTCTAAATATCAGTAATCTTATTAGGATCTTATGTATTATTGCAGATTATTCACACCAGAGAAACTATTCGGTATTTACACATGTGTGACTTATTTCACTTAGGAGTATATCTTCAATATGTATCCATTTTCCTACGAATGAATCTATTTGACTTATTTATTTCCTTAGGAGTATATCTTCAATATGTATCCATTTTCCTACGAATGAATCTATTTTCTCGTTCTTTTTTGGCTGAGTAGTATTCCATTTTATAGAAAAACCACATCTTCTTTATCCAGTTTCCAACGGATGGGCAAATAGGTTGTTTCCAAGATTTAGCTATTACAAACTGTGCCGCTATAAACATGGGTGCACATACTTCTCTGTGATATGATTCTTTTAGTTCTCTTGGAAAGATACCCAACAGAGGGATGGCTGGGTCAAATGGAACCTCCAGTCCAAGCTCTTTGAGGTATCTCCATATTGATTTCCATAGTGGTTGCACTAGTCTGCACTCCCACCAACAATGGAGGAGGGTTCCTTTCTCCCCACAACCCCGCCAACATTTGTTATTGTGTGATTTCTTGATAGCAGCCATTCTTTGTGGGGTGAGGTGGAATCTCAGTGTTGTTTTCATCTGCATCTCTCGAATGACCAGTGATGTGGAACATTTTTTCATATATTTTCTTGCTGCTTTCACTTCTTTGTATGAGAAATGTCTGTTCATTTCGGATGCCCATTTTTGGATCGGGTCTTTATATTTGGGGGGACTGATTGTTTTGAGTTCTTTATATATCCTTGATAATAGTCCTTTGTCTGAGGTACAGCTGGTAAAAATTTTTTCCCACATTGTAGATTGTCTCTTAGTTCTGCTAATGGTTTCTTTTGAAGTACAGAAGCTTTTTAGTAAGATGAGATCCCAGTTGTTGATTCTTTCTGCTAGTTCCCGTGCTACTGAGGATTTGTTCATAAAGTCTTTTCCTATACCAATGTCTTCCAGAGTTCTGCCTAACTTACTTTCCAGCAAGTTTAATGTTTCTGTTTTAATATTTAGATCTTTAATCCATTTGGATTTTAATTTAGTGCATGGCGAAAGATAAGGGTCTAATTTTAATCTGTGACAGGTTGATATCCAGTTTTTCCAACACCATTTATTAAAGAGGCTATCTTTCCTCCACTGAGGATGGTGAGCTCCTTTGTCGAAGATGAGGTAGCTGAGTACATCTGCATTTGTTTTTGTGTCTTCCAGTCTGTTCCATTGATCCTCAGGCCTATTTCTTTGCCAGTACCATGCTGTTTTTATCACAGTGGCTTTGTAGTATAGTTTCAAATTGGGAATTGTTACACCTGGTGCCATGTGACTGTTGCCTATAATGGCTTTTGCTATTCTAGGTCTCTTGTGGTTCCAAATGAATTTTTGGATTCTTTTTTCTAGTTCTGTGAAATATAGTGTTGGAATTTCAATTGGCATTGCATTGAATGTATATAGCAGTTTTGGTAGTATGGCCATTTTCACTATGTTGATTCTTCCTACCCAGGAGCAGGGGATATCTTTCCATTTTTTTATATCCTCTTCAATTTCTTTTTTCAGAGTGCTGTAGTTTTCAGTGTAGAGATCTTTTGCTTCTTTTGTTAGATTGATTCCTAGATACTTCATTTTTTTGGATGCTATTGTAAAAGGAATTTTTTCCCTTATTTCTCTCTCCGTGAGTTATTTGTGTATAAGAAGGCTATTGATTTTGGGGTATTCACCTTGTACCCAGATACTCTACTGAATCTGTCAATTAAGTCTAGAAGTCTTTTGGTGGAGTTTTTTGGGTCTTCAATGTAGAGTATCATATCATCAGCAAGTAATGACAGTTTAACTTCTTCCTTTCCTATCTTTATTGCTTTAATTTCTTTCTCTTGTCTAATTGCTGTGGCTAATGTTTCCAGAACTATATTGAAGAGGAGTGGTGATAATGGGCATCCTTGTCTTGTTCCTGATTTTAACATGAAGGTTTTCAGTTTTTGGCCATTTAATATGATGTTGGCTGATGGTTTTTCATAGATAGCCTTTATTAAATTGAGGTACAGACCATCTATTCCAATTTTTTGCAGGGTTTTTATCATGAATGGGTGTTGAATTTTATCAAATGCTTTTTCTGCATCTATTGAGAGGATCATATGGTTTTTGTCCTTGACTTTGTTAATATAATGTATTACATTTATTGACTTTCGTATGTTGAACCACTCTTGCATCTCTGGAATAAATCCGACTTGGTCAGGATGGATGATCTTCTTAATAATCGTCTGTATTCTGTTTGCTAGTATCTTATTAAGGAGCTTTGCATCTATATTCATTAAGGAGATTGGTCTGTAGTTCTCCTTTTTAGTTGTATCTTTCCCTGGTTTGGGAATCAAAGTGATACTTGCTTCCAGGAATGAATTTGAAAGTATAGCTTCCCTTTCGATTTCATTGAAAAGTTTGAAGAGTAACGGCAGTAGTTCTTCTCTAAATGTCTTGTAAAATTCAGCAGTGAATCCATCAGGGCCTGGGCTTTTCTTTGTTGGTAAATTTTTAATTACATTTTCAATTTCACTGTGTCAGTCTGTTGAGCTTGTTATGACTGACTGGTGACTTTAAGGCCCTTACAAGGGGAACATGAACTTAAAAGTCTGTTTTTGTTTTTGGAAAATAAACTTTGAGCTGAAATGCTTATTTGGCATTTTCTAATGTCACATTTTACATTATATTTCATTCATTGTGTGAAAGGTTTATTGTGTTCTTTGTTCATTCCCTCTTGACTACAGAGGACATACTTATTTTCCAGGTATGAAGTAAATGATGACCCTAGATCCTATATAGACACATTACGGGATTGTGTTACACCACACACAGACATGGTAAGTGTCTACTTGTTATATGTACACTCAACAGTACCTAAAACTGCATTTTGTATACTCTAGAATTTATGATGCTGCCATTGGTTTATTAAATTTGCAGTAACTGCAAATTTACCTCTATAACATAGCTGAGTTTCATTTATGAGGCTGTCATTCTTTTTGAATCCTTCCAACCACATTTATTGGGATGGACAGATATCACAGGGGGGAACAAATCAGCCTCAGTTGCTGGCACCATCTCTGTGTTCCCAGTTTTTTCTGGTCATAAGCCCTGTGATTATTACCTCCTTAGACCCATTGAGTCTTTTTTTTTTTTTTTTTTTTTTTTTTTTTTTTTCCTTTTGAGACAGGGTCTCACTCTGTAGTTCAGGCTGGCCTTCAACTCACTTATGTAGCCCAGGGTGGCTTTGAACTCATGGCAATTCCCCTGCCTTAGCCTCCTGAGTGCTGGGATTACAGGTGTGTGTCACCATGCCCAGCGACCCATTGAGTCTTAAGCAGGAGTATTTTTATGCTCTCATCCAGCTTGACTGTATCGTCTCAGGAGACAAGACCATGTTATCCCAGAAGCTGAAAATTTTGATTCCTAAGCAACAATTATGTTAGAATAATAATAATGAGAAAAAGAAAAATCTTCAGAACTGAGAGGTCATGAAAGTACTATGCATCAAAACTTGTGTGATGCAGCAAACAGACAATGGACTTACAGCCCTCAGAAATACATTCCGAATGTGCCAAGCTCCTTGAATTTTAAAGCACTCAGAAAGAGCAAACCCAAATAAAGAATGCAAAAAATAAAAGGAACAAAGCAAAAGCAGAAACAATATGGACAACAATTAACAAGTTTAAAGCTGGTTCTTTGAAAATATTAAATTTATACCCTCAAGACTGAAGAAATAAGACTAAGGCTAAACATTAGGAACAAGTAAAGTCATGGAGGCACTGGAGATTAAAGGAATGTTAGAAGAATACCACAAGTTACTGTGTGTCAGTAGGTTGAAAAATTAAAACAAGTAATTTGCAGAAAAATACGAATAACTGATATGATGAAATATGGGAAAATATTTCTCTTAATAAATGCAGATGTATTTGAAATGTCGCACCCTTTTTAGTGAAAGGAGAAAAACTACAGTATGAAAAGTACTTCAATCTGATAAAAGACATCTGCCCAAAATTTCTTACAGGCGTCACGTTGCCGAGGTGCCCATAAGTCAGGAACCAGTCTTCTAACTGATTGGGGTCTTGCTGGAAGCCTTGTAGATCAGGTGGTTGCCATGACTCCCAAGCTTGTTCTCTCCTCAGTAAAATGGGGATAATAGTAGATATATTAGTGGGTCCTTGAATTAACTGAGTGAAGTAAAGTCCTTGGCAAGTACCCTACACAGAATGATCAGCCCGTAAGTGGTGACTATCCTGAGCCTGAACCCTTGCGTTTATGTCTGTTGCACATCCTTGTCAAGGAGTAAGTTCTTTAAATGGAATACTTAGGACAAAGTATTTTGCAAGTTGAAATGGTGCACATTGCTGAATTGATTGCCTTATAGCGTTTTCCCTCTCCATACCCCACCTTTTAATGTTGTATGACTCTGGACCCTTTGTCCTCTTAGACTCCAGTATTATCTTAATAGGCTTGAGTTCTTGGTGCTGTATCTTGAGATAGTTTTAAGAGTTTCAAATTTGCTTGCTTTCAAGGTGGTTTGTGTACTGCCTGATGGCGAGAAATACAGGTATAATGAGATAAAAAGATTCCTGTGTATCCATTGCCCGGTTCCAAGCCAGTGCGTGATAGCAGAGACCTTAATACCCGGCAGTACATTGCTGACCATTACTACAAAGATCGTTCAGCAGATGAACTGCAAGATGGGAGGAGCCCTCTGGAAGGTGGAGACAGGTGTATGTAGATTTCATTACGTTCTCTTAATTTATGTTTAGTGAAATTTAGTGATCCGCTTTTAATCTAATGATTAAGTTTTGCTTATATTCTGTTCTAACTCACTTCATTATCTTTTCCTTTAAAATGAAGTTACAGAAGACAATGTTCATTGGTATCGATTGTTTCCATGATATTATAAATCGACAGAAGTCGATTGCGGGATTTGTGGCAAGCACCAATGAGGAACTGACCAAGTGAGTAAAGCTTCGGCAGCGTTTAGTTGGCAGCTGTCTATGGCCCAAAGACAAGAAGTGGACCTGATTCATATTTGTCGACAGTTCAAGGGGCTGGGAGTTCACAAAAGTTGTTGTCGGCTATGTAGTCTCTTGACTCTCTGGCAAAGTGATGCCTCCAGAATGCTTTGCATGTCGGGGTGGCCCCCTGTCAGTTTCTCTGATGCCCAACACAGCGCAGATTCGGCAGTTCCCAACCCCCAATTTATCTGTTTCTGTACAGTTCTTTGGGCCAGACAACTAGCACCACATTCTCTTCTGGATGGGCCTCTTCCAAGTCATTTAGGTGTGGCAGTGTCTCTTTCCTTGTGATTGGAGCACAGAGCATGTGATTGTAGCCCCGTGCATTGCTGGCTGTTGGCTTCTGGCCGGTCGCAGCTCCTGGAGGTTGTCACGTTCTTCCACGGAGGCCCCTCCCATCTTCCCACCACGCAGGGCGTATTGGGTCTGTTCCTCCAGAGGCCCACAGATCTGGGATCTTGACACCTTCATATATTCCCATGTAATGCACCTGCAAATGTCAGTAAACGATAAAGGTACAAGATTCACAGTAAGTCTCAGATAGCTTGAGAATTACCCAGACAGCTTGTTCAAAAAATTGCTAAAAATTTACAGTTGTGAAATATACAGATGGCTATTTTATTTCCATGGAGTTTCAAAAGATTGTTAGTACATTTGTCCATAATTATGTACAAGACCTGAGTTTTCATAAATGAAACTTATATTCTAAGCCGGAGCTATGGCTTATAAATTGTGCTGGCTGTGTCTTGTCTTCTAGCCCCTTTATATTGGTTGTTAAGCCCACAGTAAGGGTCTTTTTCTTCTTCCTGCACATCCATTTCTTTAAAATTTTTCATAAAATCCTATAGTGATCATTTTTCTTGAATTTTACAAAAAAAATTCCAAATAAAGGAATTTCTTTGATTTCAGGAATTCTAGAGGGAGGAGGTAGGTGATGGAGGTAATTAACTTCACAGAAAGAGACATTTTAATGTTTTCTTAATTTTCTAATTATTCCATTAGATCACACCTTTATGTGTTCCTGGAAATGTGCATTTATGAGTTTTTTTTCCTTCTAAGTTTAATGGTACACTTAAAGCAAACAGTGCAGTTACATTCATCATTGGGATTTTGCACCTTTACAGGATAGGTCTTGGTTCTTATTTTTTTTTCCCCATTCCCCTGCCCTCCCTTCACCCGCTTCACCCTTCCCTAATTACAAAGACTTTGTTTCCATTTTCCTAGTTTTTCTTTTCCCTCATTTCCTTTGCATTTGTGAATTTACTGTCACAGCTTTGGTAGGTGATTGGATTGTTCAAAATCATGTTTGAATACAAAACAATGTATATTTGCTCCCTTCTAATGAAATTACCTTAGTGGCCATCTTAAAAAAACAAACAAGAATTTCCCAATTGTTTGCCTAGATTATCCTAATGTACCATATAATAATATCTACATATTAGGGAGAGCATGATATTTGTCTAAATCTGGCTTAATTCTCTCAACATGATGATCTCCAGATCCACCCATTTTCCTGCAAAAGACAAAATGTTCTTCATGGCTTAATCTCCATTGTGAATATAGACCACATTTTCTTTATCCATTCATCTGTTGATGGACACCTAGGCTGGTTCCATCTCTTGGCTAGTGTGAATTGTGCTGCAACAAGCATGGGTGTGCAGGTATCTCTGTAGTATGCTGACTTTAATTTGGGGGGGTATACACCAAAGAATGGGATAGCTGAATGAGATGGTAGCTCTATTTTTAGTTTTTTGAGAAACTTCCTTACTGATTTCCATCACCGTTCTCACCAGCAGTGTAGAAGTATTTCTTTTTCTCTGTGTCCTTGCCAGCCTTTACTCTTTGTGTTCTTGATAGCCTTCTGACTGGAGTGAGATGGAATCTCAGTGGTTTTGATTTGCATTCCCTGAATGGCTAAGAATGATGAACATTTCCTCATACACTTATTGGCCATTTGTACTTCTTTGGAGAAATGTCTGTTGAGGTCATTTGTCTGCTTATTTACTGGGCTATTTGTTTTTTGGTGGTGTTTAAAATTTTTTTTCTATATATTCTAGATATTGATCCGTTGGAAGAGCAGCTGGCAAAGGTTTTCTCTCATTCGGTAGGCTGTCTCTTCACTCTATCACTTGTTTCTCTTGCTGTGCAGAGACTTAATTTGATGCTTTCTCATTTGTGGATTCTTTGCTATTTTCTGTGCTATTGGAGTCCTATTGAGGAAGTCTTTGCCTATGACTGTGGCTTAGTGTTTCCCCCATGTTTTCTTTTAGCAGTTTCAAACTTTCAGGTCTTATACTTAGGCTTTTGATCCATTTGGAATTGATTTTGGTACAGGATGAGAGATAGGGACCTACTTTCAGTCTTTTGAAGATGGATATCCAGTTTTCCAAGTCCATTTGTTAAAAGAGGCTCTTTTCTTAATGTATACTTTTAGCTGCTTTGTTCAGAATCAGATGGCTGTAGTTGCATAGGTTTGTTTCTGTGTTCTCAGTTCTGTTCCAGAGTCTGTGTCTGTTTGATGCTTGTATCATGCTATTTTTCTTACTATGGCTTTGTTGTATAGTTTGAAATTGGATATTATAATGCCTCCAGGCTTGCTTTTTTTAGCTTAGGAGTGCTTTGGTCTTTGTATTTCTATATGAATTTAGGATCATTTTTCTAGTTGTATGAAAAATGTCTTTGGTATTTTGATGATGACTGTATTGATTGAATCTGTATGTGACATGGCCATTTTAATAATTCTTCCAATCCATAAACATGGGTTTTTTTTCCCATTCTTCTGGTGTCATCCTCAGTGTCTTTCTTCAGTGTTCTGAAATTTTCATTGTAGAGGTCTTTCACCTTTATGGTTACATTGGTCACTAGGTGTTTTTTTTTTTAAATGTTATGAATTGTTTTCTTGATTATTTTTTTTTCTCAGCTAATCTATTATTTGTGAAAAGAAAAGCCATTGTTTTACAGCTGGTTTTTATATCCTGTTACTGAATTTATCAGCTGTAAAGGTCTTTTAGTGGTGTTTTTAGGGTCTTCTATGTGTAGGATCATACCATGTATAAACAAAGATAATTTGATTTCTTCCTTTCCTATTTGTATCTCTCTTATTTTGCCCTGTCACCTAGTTTCCACTTTAGCTATTGAGTAGGAGTGGTGAGAGTAGTGTCCTTTCCTTGTTCTTGATTTGGCAGAGTTTTCTTTAAGGAAGGCCCATCTTTATTTCCATGGATGCCATCTTTTTCTAAGTCGTGTTCTGATTCAGTATAGTAACATTATTTTGCTTGTCTCTTTTTATTTTTATTTTTTGGATAATAAGATAATATTGCATTCATAGGGAGAAATTGTTAGCTTTCATTGAACAGATGTTGAGTTAGAATTTCCATGTCCAAGTGCTGGGAATTCAGCAATGAAAATGCAAAGTCAAAATCTTGATTGGGTTTTTGGAGCTTAAGTCTTGATAAAGAAGCAGACAAAAACAAAAACAAAAATAAAAACATCCCATTGTGTCATATGGCCAGATGAGCTTACTCTGAGGGCAAACACCTAGTAAGGAGATAGAAACTTGAGACAAGTTTGATTTTCTTGGAGGTGTTGCAGTAGCTGTCATGGTTACAAAACAAGCTGCTTCCTCCAAAGATTAGTATGGATGAACCATTGCTTAAGACATTGACCCTAAAGCAGGGATGTCCAGGAACACTGGATTTTCATTTGACCACATTCTTCAGTGGGTGGGACTACAGTAGTCACACGTTAAAAACACAAATGAATTGAAGTAATGTTAGTAAGTGCTTCCATTTGCTTTGTGTACTTTTGAAAAAAATCTTACAAAATGCCAAAGATATGAGAAGAGACCAATAATTTTTTATCTCAATAGGGGTGCATGAGAATTAATCCTTAATTGGATACTGATAGTGATTTTTTTCTTCTTGGTAATAGATTAACTCAGAATTCAAATGATGACGTTTTAAGATTCTAACACATTTATTTCTCGGGAACAGGTGGTGCTCCCAGTGTGTCTTCCAGGAACCTGGACAGGAGCTTGTAGATGGGTTGAGTAGCTGTTTGGAAGGTCAGTGTCGTGAGGAGGTTGGAATACCCAACTCTATAGTAGTAGTTCTCTTAAAGTAGACATATTACCCTCAGAGACGTCTAGTCATGACTGAAAATATTTTTTGTTGCTAAAACTGGGATGGTAATATAGCTGGCGTTTAGTCTGGTGGGTGGAGACTGGAGATACTGTTCACTATTTTCCTGTGCATAGGATACCACCATCACCACCACCACCTAAAAGCATCACCTGTCTCAAGATTTCCATAGTGCTGTTGTTGAGAAATTCTGGGCTAGACTGAGGCTGTAGGTAGAGAAACTGTCCCGAGAGCTATAGCATTGAAAGATGAACCTAGAGATTGTCAAAAATAATACAGGCCAGTTGGTTCCAAGTTGCACTTCATTTACTTGTGTTTTTGTTTTCTTTTCAGCTGCCTTAGATTCCTGGTTTAGAAATGTACAAGAGCAGCCAGATTCTGTTGTGGTATATCGGGATGGCGTAGGAGATGGTCAACTTCAGGCCCTGCTTGACCATGAAATACCACAGCTTGTGAACCTTTTAAGAAAGCGTCAGTAAGTATAGAAATTATAAAGTGCAGACTTGGCAAGCTGTGTGTTTTAGTCTGTGAGAAAAATCTGTTTGGAGCCGGGGACCCAATATAGTGAGTGATGAGAGCAGAAGTGTAGTGAGACCATGGGCCTCAGTGGGTGGGCAAAGAGTGCTTCGCTTCAAGTCAGAGTTCAAAGCAGAAGAAAGACGGCCGTAGCAGATTGTTTTTCCCAGGTTACCTTTAGTGAATCTTTTACATCTTCTTATTTCCTTTCAAGTCTGTGTGCAGGAGGGCTCCTTAGCCTCAGAGATTCATAGATGTCCGTGAACACAGGCTGTGAGGAAGACTCTTCCATTAGGTTGTGGTTGGCTATGAGCAGACACTTTCTCACTTGCAGCTTTAGTCAGGAACGCGGGGCTAACACTGAACTGGGGCATGTGGAGGGTTGCTGTCTACAGTGCTTTTAATGGGGTCCTTAAAGTGTGATGTCTGAACACCTTGAATGTTTGAGAGACAAGACCGAGTAAACATAATGACATCTACTCTACTTTTTAAAGAGTCAAGCTAACTTTCATTGTGGTGAAGAAACGAATAAACACCAGGTTTTTTGTTGAGTGTCAAGAACATCTTTATAATCCACCTTCAGGAACTGTTATTGATGCGGCACTAACCAGGGAAGAATGGTAAGCGACTTGTATTTTTATATCTGCATGTGTAGCCTTATTACTTCACCAAAATCACTTAATCCCATTTACTCCACCTTAAGAGCACATTCTGATTCTTGACAAGTAATTTGATCCTTTTCAGAAAATCTTGGCCAGGGATTCTTCAGGATTTAGAAATTGTGATTGGTCTTGTGGTTTAGTTTCTTCATCATATTTGTCTCTGTGACCAAGTGGAGGTTAATAGTGCGATCCCCAAACACCTTTAATTATGAATATGAAAGTAGCAAGCTATGTTTACACGAACAGTTTGGCGTCATCACAAATCAAATAATATGGAATATGTGCTATTAAAATGTTTGTTTATAGCCACGTGTGGTGGTACATGCCTCTAATCCCAGTACTGTGGGAGGCTGAGGCAGGAGGATTGCAAGTTTGAGCCCAGCCTGGGCAACTTAATGAGATTTAGTGAGACCTGTCTCAAAAAAAAATATTTTTTATGAGGGTTGGAGATGTGGCTCAGTGCAAAGGCATATTAACCACAAGGTGGATCTAAAATATTGGCTATCATAATAAAGAGCATATTAAAGTAGCCCTACAATACTGGCTATAAATAATATTTACATAGGGAAGGCATTATGGAGTTAAAGCATTTGAGATTAGTACAATGATAGAGCTTCTAATTAATCTTACACATAAGTCAATTGCAGGTAAAAGTTGTAGGAAGTAAAACATGACATTTACAGGAACAGATGGTGAGAAATGAAGTCAAATTAAAAAGCAGAAGCACTGTCGGGAAAGGACTAAAAAAAAAAAAAAAAGCACCTGAAAAGTATGATAAACATCAACCTTAACATAAGACAATGCACATCATAACTCAGTACTTACAGTAAATATCAAGATGAACCTTAGCAGTTTTCTAAATCATTTGGAGAGTTTGAGTGCGTTCTGGTGATTCTTAGGGAGAAGTAGGAAGCCTCTGTCTTTGGCATATAATTACCATAAAATGCAGGGGCCACATTTCATGTGTATGAAATATGACCAAATGAAATGAGCCAGCTTTATCTCTTCCTCTTGACAAAGCCCCTTTTTTAAGTCTGAATCACACGAAAGTTTTGAGCTATGTCAATGACTTAGCTGTCCTTTCTGGATTTGCTTTGTTAGATCATTGTTTGCCAATTAGACAGGCTTCTAAATTTAAAGAAAACTTTGTCTGTGGAACAGATTTTTGCAACTTTATATACTAAATGTTTTTGCTTCCAGTACTATCGATTATCCTGTTCCTTTTCCTGTAAAGTAAACTAATACCCACCTGTTCTGTAATTTCAGGTATGACTTTTATATTGTGAGTCAGTTCTCCAAGCATGGCACCGTTACTCCCACTCATTATAATGTTATCTATGACACTGTTTGCTTGGACCCGGATACAGTACAGCGTTTAACTTACAAACTATGCCACATGTACTATAACTTCCCAGTAAGTATTGTCTCATTGATTGTTGTTTTCCTCTTCCAGTCGATAAAAGGGATTGTTCAAAACTGAGCAAAATTTCAACCTCTGAATTGAAAATCTATGAAAATTCAAACTTGGAGAAAGGAGGTGTAAGGGCAAGTATAAGGTGATATAAAATTAACAACTAAACTTCTGTTTTTCTTCTTATGAAAGGGCATCATTCGAGTTCCGGCTCCTTGCCATTATGCCCATAAACTGGCTTACTTCGTGGGGCAGAATATCCAGCAAGAGCCGCATAACTCACTGTCAGACTGTCTCTATTACCTTTGACCAACAGCGAAAGACCTGATACGACGATGCAGAAAGCTTTCTTTTGAAGCTGGGTATCTGAAATATTTTCCTAGGTTGGCAGATCAGTCGTAATATGGATTGGAAATTGGGGAATGTTGAATAGTATCAAAGAGATGGCAAAGCGGGAAAGGAACTTGTGCTAATATCTATCAGGAAGCCCCAAAATGGTACTTGTGACTGTTTTCTGTGTCACAAACTCCACACGAGGCAACTGGGTGCGACAGAAGTTGTATTTATTCAAATTTTTGGGTCTGTGTTAGAGAAAAACAGGAGTGGACTCACGCCAGTTGGATTCAGTAGTGTGGTTTACTCTCAGTCCTACCCACTGAGTTCACAAGAGATTGTCTTCCTGAAGGGTCAGGGCAGGGGGAGAACTGACAATAAAGACTCTATCTTCCAATTTACTTTTCAAATGTTAAAAAGATTTTTGTAACTAAATGTCCTGGGACACTGCATTCTAAGCAGTGTCACTCTGACCAGTGAGGGAAAGGATTAGTTAACCTAGGGTTAGCCTGCTGATTTAAAAATTGGCAGTTTACGAACATGGATACATTTTTCCTCTTTTTCCACATAAGACAGGGAATTAAGCACTCCTTAGCCTTTCTGCTTCTGTTTCAAGTGTGATATTGTTAACTGCAACATGATCAGAAGAATCTAAAGCAGATTTTTTTTTTAGATGAACTCCTCTGCTTTCCCAGAGAGCAGATACGTTTTTCTCTTTACTTAAAAAATGGTCTTTAAATAGATTCCAGACAGTGTATGAAAGCTTGGTTTTCCTATACTCCTGAAGAGAGTGTATTTTGGGAAGGAGAAAGACTAGCTTCAAAAATACTAGAAAGGGCCTATTTGAGAACAGTATGTTTGCTTCGATTATATGTTGACTAAATTATATTTACAACTTGAACCTGTCTTGTAAGAAATAAAATCTAATCATTTAAGAAAATCTAATCCAGGGAAAATTGCACCGAACAGTACTACCAAGGGTGATAAATGTAATGAAGGATGTGGCCCATGATTAAAGATGTGCTCGGGCAACGTGTTCTTTTCTGAAGCTAGAATTTGATTTAGGGTATTAATTTCTAGAAATCCGAGCAAGTAGTTTGGAAGGCAAAAATGGAAAGTTGTTGTTAAAGAGTAATGAATGTTTCCTCGAAGCGCAGTATGTACAACTGTCACTTATTCCTAGTACTGTTAAATGATGTGATTCAATAAAATGCTCATGTTAAAATCACAGATTTGAGTCTTCCTATCCATAATGTGCTTTCTCTAATTTTCTTTTTGTGTTTCTAGGTAATGGGAATTGAACCCAGGACCTTTATCCTGAGCTGCATACACTCCCTCACTCACCCCTTTTTTCAAGATCAGGTCTTGATCTTCCTGCCTCACTCTCCTAGAGTGCTGGGTATAGACATGTGCTACTCGGCCCTACTCTTTCTTGGCCTTCTTAATCTACTGATTAGGGAAAATTGTTGCTCTTCTAAGAAAAAGTGGAAATATTGCTTGGATCGGGGAACTATTTCATTCGCCTGTTAGTGTTTTGCAAATTAGCAGAAGGAACTTTGAGTATTTAATATTAATTTCCAAAAAATCTTACTGATGTACCACAGTGCCTTAGTTTTCCATTGTGGAGCAAGGGTGGGGAAGTGGGAATTAAAGGCAGGAACGTGTTAGGCTGTGTAGCTGTACAAATAATGTAAGGAAATGGACTTTCTAACTACAATAGTGAATAAATAACATACACTTGGCTCCCCAGGTCAGGGGATTCTGTATCCATGGTTCAACCAACCTCAGACTGAAAGTATTTGGAAAAAATTGTATACTGAACATATACAGACTCGTCATTAGTTCCTAAGCAATCTAGTATAACAACTCTTTTTGTTGTGTTAGGTATTTGTAATATGGAGGTGACTAAAATATGAGTAGATTGTCTAGGTTATATGCAAGTACAGTGCTTTGTATAGCAGATTTGAGCACCTGCAGACTTTTTTTATGTCTTCCAGAGTCCTGGAACTGATTCCTCATAAACCAGGGGATGATTATAGGTCAGTTCTTCCACTGGATACAGCTCAAAAAGCTGGATAAAATATTAGAAAAGAATATTGACAAGTATCACACATATCACAGCAGAGAAGAAAACCATGCTAATATCTAGCTGAAGGAAACCCAAAAAGTGACCTTGGTATTTGGGACTGCCACAGGAGGCAATCGAGTGGCTGAGAGCTTGGAGTTAGTTAGATTTATTGGTCCATGTTGAGACAAATCAGCTCCAATACCTACTTGTACAGAGCATTGTCTATGACTCGCACTATTCATTTGAGACCGATAGAAGAGGAACTGTAGGGGCTGGAATGATGTGATTGTCAGCATAGAGCGTTCCAAGAATTGAAAGGAAAATCTCATGAGAAAACTGGCACAACCAGGTTGGATGTCCACTGCTGCATCTCTTGATGCAAACTGGTGGCTTTACCCTCTTTCTTGGTTTCTTTTTTATGTCACAGATATAAATATTTTATTATTTATAGATTCTCCAACCAATAGTTTTTTCCCAATTCATTATTTCCAGGGTCTTTTGAGGAGTGTGACTGTTGGAGAGGTTTTTCAGAGACTATGATGGTTTCTTTGAATTTCTGCCTCCATGAAGCTAGCAGCACAGGCATTGCACAGAAGTGGCACATCTCATGGCTGGCTACTGCTTGTCTTGGTGAATTTACCTCTTTGTTATCAAATTACTGTAGAATTTTTCTACTTCGTGTTATACTACTATTTGGTTCTTCAGCGTTCCCCAAAGGCTCATGTTCCCTAAGGCCATGGCTTGGTGCCAGCCCGTAGCACTAGTTGGTGGGGCCTCATGTGACGTTGTCAGATCACTGGGGGCAGAGCTCACCAAGGGGATAGATAGTGGGACACCAGCCTGTTGCTCTCTTTTTGCTTTTTGACCATAAAGTAGCTTTGCTGTGCTTCCGTTGAGCTGCCTCATCACAAGCTCAGTGTAGCCAGTTGGTATGGACTGAAATCTCTCAAACCATGAGTCCAACATGTTTCCTAAGTGTGTCTTTTTCTTGCTTAGCCAACTAACACACCTTGTTTTAATATAGCTTTTCTTTGAATTAGCTCTTGCATAGCTCTCATCTTTTCACTTTATCTCCACCTGTCCATCTACTGCCTATCTAAAATGGACTCTAGTAGACAGATTATAGTTGGCTTTGCTTTATATCTGTGACGATTATGTTGCCTAGATTCCAAGTCATGCCATTTGCCATATTTCACAGTGCTTGAAGTCTCTGTTGATGGCTTCCCGTGTTGTCTTCCTTGTTCAGGACTCCTGGAATCCATTATGAGTTTCCCAGGAATCCATTATGAGTTTCCCAGATGTGTGAAGCTTCTCTAGGGAGACTCTGACAATGTCCTGCATTGGTCTTTAACCAACCATCCATCTTTGTCCCAAACGTAAATCCTCAAGTCTTTCCTACTTTATCAACATGTCTCAAGAATGAAAATATACACCATGGGTTTTTCTAGTTGCAAGGCCTTGATGTCACCCTAATAGAGACCTGTTTGGGGCAGTACTACTTCTCAGTGGAAAGGCTTGCTTTACTGCCCTCAAGTATCAGCAGTCATGCTCAGCCACAGGCCACCAGAGCAGTAGCCAGGTCTTGCTCACTACTAGCCATGGATGCTGTCATGGCCCAGGAAGCCTTTACTGAGCCTTTTTTCTCTTTTCATTGCACCTGGGTCCTCAAGTGGGTGTGAAGAGTGTCCACCACCTGGTCGCTTCCCTTCCCTGTTTCTCTTTGTCAAGTGCTACACACCACCCATGTGTGCTGCTGGCATCCTTGCCCTTGACGCATTTGCCCGCCGAGTCCACCTACAGATTTAATCTGAAGGTCACTCAGTTGTTGTAGTTTATTCTGGCTCACAGATTTGGAGATTTCAGTCCACAGTTGGCCCGTTGCTTTTGGGTCTGGTGAGGCAGCACATCGTGGTGGGAGAGCATGAGAGTAAGCCTGTCCACCATAAGGCCAGGAAGGAAAAAGAGGAGACTGGTGTGGCAAACTCATTCCAATAACCTCCCACTAGGCCCTACCTGTAAAGGTTTTTACTACCTTCCAATGGTGCCAAACTGAGAAACAAGCCTCTTAATACATGGGCTTTCTGGGAGCATTCCAGATGCAAAATATAGCATTCTGCAACTTTATTCTTTTTCAAGATTAGCTGTTTGGGATTTCTTGTTATTCTATATGATTTTCAGAGTTGGCTTTTTTATTGCAAAAACAGTATTGAGATTTTATGATGGTAGAATTTTTTTTAAGGCTAAGTACAGAATGTGCACATCTACAACTAAAAACAAAAACACCAATCAGAAACCCCAATCCCCCCAACAAAACAATGTAAAAATGGACAAAAGACTTGCTTGAATGAGGCATTTCTCCAAAGACTTATAAATGGCTACCATATATATGAAAAGATGCCATACTTCACTAATCAGGGATATGCAGATCAAAGCCATTATGCAGTACCTCTCACTTGTTAGAATGGCTATTCTCAGTAGATGAACACTGGGCTGGGGATTTAACTCAGTGGCACCGTACCTGCCTCACAAGCACAAGGTCCCAATTTTGATCCCCGGTACAAAAACAAAAAACATGAAAACTAACAAGTGCAGGCAAGGATGTGGAGAGAAGGAACACTTGTCTACTGTTAGCATGTATGTAAACTGGTACAGCCATTAGGGGAAACAGTGTGGACTAGTTCTTTAAAAAATTTAAAACAAAAATTGCCATATGATCCAGAAATCCTACTACCTGGTATATATCAAGAGTACCTGGGCCATTGCTCCAGTGCCGGGAGGTAGCCTGGGCCCCGATCCACCGTGGGAAGGAGAGCCACACCTTCTCCTGTCCCAGCCACCATCGCTTCAGTGCCAGGAAGGTAGCTGTGCGGGTGCCCCTGAACCCCCATAACTCCCCTAACCACCACCCTCCTCACTCTCAGACCTCCTGACTGTGCCAGTCTTTGGGCCCACTCTGCAGAGGCAGAGGTGGCCATCAAGGGTATTTTTCTGAGTTCCCAACTTTGAACATCTTTAAAGAAAGGGCATGGGAAACCTGTAGTAGAAAGGTGTGGAGTTCAACCATTCAGAAGGTTGGGGAACTCAATCTGGGCCTTGCAGCCTGAGGTCAGTGTCATGGGGTTCAGCCATCAGCTAACTGAGACCAGGAGTCTTGCATCCTCAGTCTGTCTGAGCCATTGAATGGTAAATACACTATATTGAAATTTTGTTCACTGCAGACATGTTCTGGACTGCTTCTTGATTTCAATTTAATGCAAATGATTTAAGGGTGATAGACTAGTGACTACCACAGGTGGTCAGTTTCCAAGTTGTGCTTGATCTTAATGTGTTGCTGATTGTATCAGTTGGCATAAAGCATTGTGGCTGATTTGATGAGCTGTTTCCTCTGATGTTATGAAGATGAGAATGTCTGTGGGTCATTAGAGACAAAAGTTAGGGCACAACTATATCAGGCAAGGAAACCTGGAAATGGAGGTAGAAGGGTCAGGCAGGAGAGGAAGGGGAAGCAGAAATGATTAATATGCAATGTGTATATGTACCAGTTCCCCAAGATGAATGTAATTATTGTGTCTTTGTTTTTTTGTTTTTTTTTTTTTGATACCAGGGATCGAACTCAGGTCCTTGTGCTTGCAAGGCAGGCGGTGGAACCACTGAGCTAAATCCCTGGCTGATTATTATGTATTGCAAACATACACCAATAAAAATAACTCTGGATGTCTTTATCACTAGCTGCCTACAGGAGTTGCCTGAATCAAAGTAGGGCTTAGGAAGATGGGTCCCGCATATGGAACACCCACAAGGCTGTTTTGCGTAGGAATAGTTGTCCCACTTAGACGAAGCAGTGTAGAAAACCAGCACTACACAGTGACCACAGGCACAAAGCCACTTGCGCCCGGGAGTGTTTTTTGGCCCTGTACTTCTCAGGTTCCGTGAAAGAGAACTATCTACAAGAACTGCCTATTAGGTTTATTACGAGGCTAACCTAAGGAAACACAGACAAAGTGAAGACAAGTGTCTGGAACTTCACAAATGCCACCTACACAACTGCCCGGTGACTACGTCTGGAAAGATGAGCAGAGTCTGTAATACCGGGGCCTTTCAGAGAGGGGACAAGAAAAAGACAAGTCAGGAGGCGGAGTCCACCTTTCGCACACCTGCCGTGCTCGTGGAAGCAATATCATTGCTGAGGGTGTAGGGTGCAGTTTGTGATGCCCCCAAGGTAAAGCCCTAAAGGCCCAGGGGGTTCAAGTTTCCCTCCCCCGAGCACTGGCCTCCTGTGGTCAGGTGACCCCCTGCTCAACAGCCAACTGCCTCGGAACTCAGAACATTCCGGGCCAACTGTCAACCAACTGCCAACCTGACAGTTGTATAAATAGCTTTGCCTGAACTGAACAAACCTAGATGAAAAGAACAGTTGACTGGGGACTAGGAGGTGGCCTGCTGGGCTGGGGCTTAGATGGCTCAGTGCAAGCCTTCCAGCTCCTTGTGTCTTGTTGACTCAAGATCGGACTGGCTACAAAGATGTGGTTGAGACTGGGTAGTGACTGCACTTCTCTGAGCCAACACCTTCCTATGTTTGTCCAACCTCAATCCCTGTTGTATAAATTGCACTTTCCTCCCTCAGGCTTCTGCTGAATACCTGGCTTTCTGGACAGAGAGTCTGTACGGTGGTGGGGAATTCGAGGGGAGGGGTCCGTGGCTCCCCCAGTTTTTGCCAGGTGACCATTTCTAGACTGCAGACCCTCTGTGGGGCGCAGCCAGGTGGTTTCCTTGGCCACTGATTCTTCTGATGTATTTCTGTATTGCATGTTTTATGACCTGTCTTTCTTGTACCCTGAATCTGATCCTGGAAAATACATTCAGAACTGCGACAATTGTTGACATGTTTGTGGCAGAGAAAGTCTTGGAGAAGTATTCCCAGTTGGCATTTCTGGTTTCTCACTCCCCAGCTGCCTCAGAAAGTGGCTGAATCTAAATCGACCTTAGGCAGAGGGATCTTGCGGTGGGATACGATCTCAGCTGACTGTGGAGGCATAGTTCTATTGGGAGGAGGCAAGGCAGTGCCTAAGAACCTAGGGCTAGTGTCGGACAGTCCTGGCCACGGGTCCCACGCAGAAGACGTGGACCTGTAAGAAGGACTTCCCCCTCTGTCCTCAGTCCTCTGCTGTGGCATAGAATATGTTCATGAAATGTCTTAGGTGTTCTTTGTTGTGGAAATATCTTATTTTGAAGATAGTTTTGCAGGATACATTAATCCAGGTTGGAGGTTGTTTTCTTTTGGGGCTTTGAAGTAGGCTGTCCTTGAATTGCAGTTTTGTGTTATCTGCTGTGGTTTTGACTGGCTTCCTTTTGCGTGTGATTTGTTTCTTTGACTGCTCGTAGTAATACTCTGTGGCATGGAATGTGCACAGGGCTTCTTAAAGTACAAATGAGGTCTGGGGAAAATACCTGGGGTTTCGTAAGTGCATATATACATGTTCAAATTTTAAATGTGGAAGGAGCTAAACCTGTGGGTCGGCACCTTCCAGCCAGGAAACTTGGGGAAATACAAGTCATGGGAGAGGGGAGGCTACTTTACTGCTGTGTATTCAGGAAGGATGTATTCTCACTCCGGTGGTTCACTGGCCGTGTCAGGTGGGCAGAGTGGAGACTCCCACCTGTTGTTTTACGGTCAGTAGAGTGACTTGCCCAGAGTCTCACACAGAGAGGGCTAATGGGTCTGAGACAGGAGATGTAGTTGGGTTCCTGGGGAGAGAGCTCAGAACCCGAGTACTCTGGATCATGCTCTTGGACTCCTTAGCCAAGGACATCCTTTACTACGCTCTCCATGTATTCTTATCAAAGTCACTACTTGTGGCGGGGGGGAGTAGCTGCCCTTAACAGGTAGCTGAGCCACAACAGCAGGAAGCGGACCCTGCAACAAGCCCCCGACCTCCTCATTTCAACCCTGACCCAAAGTTATGGCACCTTCCTGAGAGGAAGCCCCTTTGAAGATCCATAAGAGTCCACTCTAGCTCCTCCTCATCCAGCAGATTTACCAATCAGCTGGCCCAGGTGACCTACCTCAGGGGCAGATAGTCACCTGAGGGACCAGTGCCCTGCTTGACTCTGCAGTTTCTGCTCCTTGAACGGCCACTGCCACAGTGAATTGTCTTGGATTTAATAGACAGGCCCCGGTGGACTGTTAATGCCAGTTAGTGAGGGCAAAGCGGCCCTCTGGACTATTGCTTTGGTGGTTCACCGGGTGAAGCTGGTGTGTTCCCCCCATGTCTACTGACCACTGATCTGGGCCACTGTCTAAGCAGTTGGACCAGACCAAAGCCTAGCTGAGGACAGAGAGCAGCAGCAGACTGTGCCCCTTCCTGCACACAGCCTACAGGGGCAGTGGGCACAGTCTTAGCTCCATCAGAGGGATGCAGCATAGTCACAGGCTGTGACTCCCACCCTTAAGTCCTTCCTGAGGACCACCCAGACCTTAACTTTCCTCTCTCACTTGTTGTCACTCCGTGGTCCCTTGCCACACCACTCTCCCAGCAGCCCCCAGCAACAGGGATCCTGCACTCGTGGACCACAGTCTGCCCTTAAATCCCCCAATTTTTCCTGTCTAAAACATTTCTGGACTTGGCCTGCCTTAACGATGGGGGAGGATTCAGACTTCTACACTCGGAAGTTTGGCCCCTAATTCCCCTTCCATGCAGCGTCTATTGCAGATTTCCCTGATCTGAGAATAAGGGGGATAGAGCAAGCGGTGTAAGGGGGAGGCTAGCTATTAGGGGAGATTTATATGATCAAAATGCATGCCTGCGTGGAGAGATCACATTGGAAGCTCCATATTTAAAAAGATTAGCAGGCACTACTAAAGTGTGCTAAAGATTTTTTCTGAGCTGATGAAAGTGGTGGTGTGCTCACCCATATTCTTGTGTACAAAAGCAGCATTAGAAAATAGCTTTCTAAATTTTGGAAAATATTTAAGGACACCTCGAGAGAAGAATCGAACCCAACACGGAATAATGAAGCAAAACTACAAAACGAGATCAGAATAGTCAGAGGGTGGGGGCGGCAGCGGGGCTGCGGCAATAAGGCGGTGGGGAATGAGCAGAGCGGGCCGGGCCGGGCCAGTTGTGGAGGGGACATTCAGAGGGTGAACGTGACAGACGTGTGCAGCAGCAGCGCAGCTTGGGGGCTGCTGACGGGACTGAGCGCTGCACAGATGCACTCAGATGTGAACCTGTCAGCTCAGTGACAGCTGGAGTAGAAGACTGGGTGCTCAGCAGCACAGGACCCCGGTGACAGGTCAGCGCGGCATCTGTACTAATCCCCCGGAGCAGACGTCATTGTTACGTACCGCGAAAGTACACTAATAATAATAATAATAATGATGATGA